ATAATTCTGCCTGCACTGAGACACAATGACCGAACAGCACTCCACCATCCGTGATGCAGGTCTCCTTGTGGTGGCCTGGAGCTCAGTGGCCTAGGCCTAGCTGCCTGCTTCGAAGCCAGCTTGAGTCAGCTTCAGCCAGCTTGAGCCAACAACCGCAGCTTTCTCTCAAGACTCAGCACCATGTCCAGACCTGAGTCAACACAGGATCCCTCGTTTCAAGCGGAGTACGAGGAATTCTGTCAGCGACGGGTACGGGAACAACTTCCGCATGTCACGTATCGCAATTTCCTGCGCCAGTGGAGGCGCTCCGCTCGTGCTCACGGCGAAAGCTATCCTGCACATAAAGGAGCCTCTAAAGGTACTGGTGGACAGGAAGAGCAGGGAAGCGGAAAGGGTGGAGTCACTCCCCCTCCTCCTCCTTCCAAGAAAAGAAGTACATGGCAAGGCGAGGGTGGAGATACTCCCCCAGCAGCAAAGGCAAAGAGCGGAGATCCTCCCTCTGGGGACCCCATCACGGAAGCTGCGATCAAAGTTCTTCAGTCAGCTGGTTATACCCCCTTTCCCAGTCTGATGTCAGACTGTGATGGGAACATCACTGAGCTGAACAATCACCGAATTATGGTGACAGTCACTCAGCAGCTGCGAGATGGTCTCAATCAGGTGGAACGACCCTCCCCGGAGGTAGCCAATGCTCTCCTGGAGACCTTCCTGGCCTCCCGCCGGGGACTTGCCAATGAGCCTTTGCATCCTAAGCTTGGATATCCCACAGCTGAAGAGAATGGGTGGTTTCGTTTTGAGTATTCTTCACCGAACATTCTTCCTGCAGGGGACAGCGAGGTTGCATTCCACGGTACACACCTGGAATGTTTGCATGGGATACTGGCCACAGGCAGGCTACTTCCTTCGACACCTGACCTCTCCGGCACGCGAAGCTTCGAGGCACGACCAGGCGTGTATCTTCACAGGATGTCAAACAGGCATCTTGCTGCCGGCTACAGTTGTCTGGTGAGGATAGGACCTCGGCACATATTCGTGCGGCCCATGTTTGAGGTGGAGGCTGCGCACTCTGGATCGCAAAAAAAGGGTAAGAAAACAAACCAACTGATATACTCCTATGATGCAGTCAAAATCCGAGCGCTGCTACTGCAAATATCAACCAAGGAGACACTCACCTTAGGTGAGTACCTCCGAGAGTGGAGCGGCTTGTTGGAGATACCACTGAGACATGCTCGGGAATCCTTTTCGGCGCTGGGATACGAGCTGCCTGGCGAAGCCTCGTCAAGTGGAGTCAAGGAAGGAGGAGTTGCTCCCCTTCCGTTTCGCGAGCAGGCATCCAGCTCACAGGGTGGAGTTTCTCCCCCGACCATGGCGCCAGAGATTGATCACAGCTCAACAACGCCACGCAGCTCCACTATAGTGGCCTGGGAAGGCCAACCAGGCGATCTAGGGGAATATCGCACTGCCTCTACGAAGCCGGAGAGCAGCTTCTCGATCGAAGTCTCGAAGGCTCTAGCAGCTTCGCTCCGGCACGGACATAAACCCTACCTCAGCGTCACTTCAGCTGGCTGGGCCAAATTAGAGGAAGTCCTGAGATGGCCAAGAGTGCAGGCCCAGCACGCCACGGCAGGCGACCTCCTGGAGGTCGTTCGGAGTAACGAAAAAGGCAGGTACGAGCTGGGCGATTGCCAAGGCCAGAAGTACATCAGGGCTCTGCAAGGACATTCTCGCTCTGATGTGGACTCCAACGAAGCGTTGGAGGAACTCACGGAGGAGATGCTCCCCAGAATGCTGTATCATGGCACGTTCTGGTCCTTGTATGACTCCATACGCCAACGAGGCCTTTTGCCTCAGAAAAAGATTTCCAAGGGTCGCGGCAAAGGTGGACGTGGCAGAGAGGGACGACAGCATGTTCACTTCGTCTCGGATCAGGACTATGGGAGACCTGGTGTTTCTGGAATCAGAGACAGCTCGTCGATGCTGGTGGCGGTCGATCCACGCAGAGCCATGCAGGAAGGGGTGCAATTTTTCCGTAGCAAGAACGGCGTCATTCTCACCCCCTCTGAAGTGCCCCCTTCTGTCATAGAGTACTACCAGAGCCTGAAATCTGGTACTAAGTACGGAGGCGACAACAGGCCGCTCTGATCGTGATGACCCTCACCTAACGGTGGAGTCCCTCCCCACACAGATAATGCAGCTGCTCACTCAAAAATCTGTGTTATGAGGCTGACGGTTCAATTCCATCACCAGACAGCAAGTATACCCCGAGGTCGCATGAAAAGCTCCGAGCGAAGTCGTGGGCCCGGATCTGCAAGTGAGTTGTCAGCCAAAAGTCTTCTGGAAGCTCCACTTGCCTCGTACAGGCTCAACTCGCCAGCTGTCTTGAGTGTAGAAGCCATGCCTGAAACACCGAAGAAGAGTGGCAACAGAGCGACCTCTCGAACCCCTCCACCAGTGCGTCGTCGTCCCCATATATCCAGGTCGCCGCCAGCCAGTGACTCCATTCGGGAGTCTGACTCTGAAGACACAGCAGCTCCCACAGCAGCCCCCAAAGCAGCAGGCCCAAAGGGCCCGCCGCCTCCGATGCCTGTTAACCTGTCAGGAAGTGGATCTAGCACAGATCGGACACCGGGGCCAGGTAAGGCACCAGGAGTGCCAGCGAAAGGTGGAGTCCCGGGAGGAGTTTCTCCCCTGGGACCACCGCCAAAGGCTGTGACCTCAACGATCTCCCATCCAGGGACAGGAGAACTTCATGTCACCAGCACAGGTCCGGCAGGAGTTGCTCCGCCATCTACAAATGTCAGCAACGGGCTGGAAGCGGCGCCTGGCCTGCCTTTACTGAGTGTTTCATTGCCTCACCGCCTTTACTATAACATAGAGCTAGTGGTTCGCACCGAGCCTTCACAGCGAGGCTAGACATTCTTGCGAGACAGCAGTGTGCAAAATGGAAGTCGCCAATCAGTCAGAGATACATTGCCAATCAGCCAGTTAACTCGCTCATTAGTGCCAGAGTCTGCAGCTCGAGTCAATGACGACACGTCCGATTCCAACTTCATTGCTTGCAGCCTTGAGGGGCGGAGCGTGTGCGAGTGCTGTGTTAAGGCACGGCTCGTCATGAAGTGACCGCGCAAGTAGTAAGCAGAGCAGCAGGTCGACCCCTCGCAAAGCGTGGACGTCAAGTTTCACCTCAGACAGTATCCTCCCGCTGCGTGTGAATGAAATGCTGGTGCTGGCGGACGGAGAACATACAGGCAAGCACGCGTTCCGAGCATATGTGCATGCGCTTGCATCCGTGCGTGCGTGTGTCTACACCCTGATTCTAAGCTAAGGGTTTTGGCTAGACATGTGATTTGTGCAGTTGCGGAAGCAAAGGACATGTGATTTGTGCAGTTGTGGAAGCAGGGGGCTCTGGGAGCCTAACTGGGACCAGAGCCAACCAAGACGCCCAGTTAGTGCAATGAAGCAAGGATGGACGCATCCTTGTGTCTTGCTTTTTCATTGAATGGCATCAGGCTAAGCCGAGAACCTGCCCGTTTGGGTGAAGCTGCTTCACTTGAGAGTGTGAGCCCTGTCAGGTTGCAGAACCAAGGTTACAATGCTTGGGTAATTCCATCGTTCTCAACATCTTCCCTAGAAAATGTGAATGGCGTCAACCTATACTCCATGTCCGTGTCCGTGTGGGTGTGGGTGTGTGTGCGCGCGTGTGCGCGTGCGCGCAGAGGGAGCTGTTAGCATGTGAGAGTGTGGAGTCTTGGATTTGGAAAATGATCAGGCCTGATCGGAGTTGCACTGAGTCGCTCGCATAAAGCCGCTGCACCTCTGTCCCGAGGGAGAGGTACGACTCAAGGTCCACGAAGGAAGCCGTAGCCTCGCCAGGCGATTGATATGGCACTCAGCTCGGCCAGGTTCTCCTCTTGTGCTCCAGACCATAAGTGGCTCCAGCACGGTGACGAAGCCACCGTACATTGTTTGCCTGGAACAACAAGACGAGACGATTGCGCAGCAACACACCATGCTAGAGTCACAAAGTACCATCCAAACTGCAGTCAGATCAGGCAGTGGCACTACCAACTCTGCAGATCTCTGCATTTCAACAGCTGCGAACAGCACTGACAGATTCTCGGTTTGCTCCAATTTCCGGGGCCTTGCTCCGGCTGGCAGCAGGAAGATGCTTAAGCCCAGCACAGCTGCCTGCTCACTGAGGCAGTGAAGCTGCTTGCGACAACCAAACAGGGACAAACACCGACACCCAGCCAAACACCAAAGCAGGAAGCTCGAGCAGCTGTGGCGCGCACACCAAGTTCCCATCTGCCACTGCCTGCAGCACACACACTCCGAGTGAGAAACAGGTACGAGGGCAGGGCTGCATCAGTCTACACCTTCGAAAATGTCTGAGAGGCAGCAACGCAGATTTAGAGACGAAGCAGGCCTCTCCCCTCGTCTCGCCGAAAGCCTCTCTGCTCGTGCGAATCGAAGTAATTCACCTCAGTTCCAGGTCCTGTGGATTCGAACTCTTGGACAGTTCATGTCAGTGGAGAGCAAAAAAGCGCTACGGATCAGGTGCAATGGCTGAAGCTGGGAAGCTGGCACAGCGTTGAAGCTGCGCACCGGATTTCTGGGCCTAGGAAACATCAGTTCGGCCGAAAGAATCGCTTCCCCACTTGACTGAGATGCGAGCAGCAGAAATCGAATCCGCCAGTCGTGTCTTGAGCTCGGAAAAACTCGAAGGGCTGCTTCTGAGCGCAAAATGCACACTGCAATGCCCACCGACCCTGACGAGAAATCGAGAGCACGAGAGGACTGGCGGAACACTTTCTGCATCATGCAGCTGTGTTTAGCGCGTTCGTCGGCTGTGCTCGCCTGGACTGCCTCGAGTCTCCGGGCGCCAGCAGGCAAGAAATGCATCAGGAGCATATCTCCATAAAGGAAGCTCCAAATAAAGATGAACCATACCTTGATGGCCTGAATTCACTTCGGCATCCGGATTCGGAAGTCGATCAGCATCAGCTGGGTCTGATGCGGCTCTCTGTTAGTGGCCGCCTCTCCCCCAGCGTGCTTCTTAGAACAGTTGCTTGGCGCACGATGGGCCCAACAGGAGCTTGAGCTTGACCAGGCCTCGGTCCGGGTGTGCCCCAAGACATCCCATTCCCATTGGTCGCCCAAACGTTTGTATCTTCCGAGAGGTGGAAGCTGGCCGGAGCAGACTGCGGCTGGGCAGAGGTCCTGAGCATTGAAGGCGCGAGGTGCTGTGCGGAAGTGCCCTGCCATGGAGTGGACGTTGCAAAAGACTGGCTTCTCGGCCATGCCAGGGACTGTGCGTGCGCAAACGGAGCTGGCAGAGATGCTGGTCCTTCCCCACACGCTGATTGACAGTCTAGGAATGCTTGAAACCCTTCCCCACTGTAGCATACTTCCTGTGCGGGAGACCGACATCAGAATCAAGGCTCGCGTAGACGACAAGGCTAAGAGCATGCGGAATTGCTTCCCAAACGGCTCTTATTGTGGAAAGCAGATGGGACCCCCTATAGAAAATGCATTGCATTTACGGGTTGAAGTTGCTCGGTATGGGCACCAAGGGATGGTAAAGTGAGGGAACTTTGAATATGCTCTTCTGGCCCTTCTTCTACACAGACCGTCCCGGCTCCCGTTTTCAGCGAGGTGCCACATCCACGTGGCTATGATAGTTTGAGACCTAGACATCGGTCTTTATTTTGTGCGGCAAAGCCAAAGTGATCACGCTCTCCGATTCGTTGGGACCAATCTAGATTCTGGAGAGCAGGTTCTGAGCATCCGTATTGCAACCATCCTAGGCAAGCTGCAAGTTGCCCAAACTTGACAGATTGGCCACGTCCTATGGCGAATGGTTGCAGACAGAGGTACAGTAGCAGCTGATATCGATATGCACGGAGTACCACTCATGCTCTCAGGAAGCTTCTCGAACACCGAAGCGAAAGGAACCGAGCCGGAGTACGACACCCGTAAGCGAACCACAACTTGCGAACCGCTAGGGTCGTTGGGGGCGAGGAGAATCGTCCCAGGAGAACCGGAAGCTCTCCGGGTCCTGGATATCCATGAAGTCCCGGTCCCGGAGCCATGCCAGCCACGCTAGACCAAGGCTGTTCCGGTGCAAAGGCATTCAACTCAGGAAGTGGTGGAAGAATTGGCGCGACCAGGAGCGGCGGCTGAAGATCTCCGCGTCTTTTCCCGTTCGTGAGGCTTGCCCGCGAAGCACGGGGCCGTCGTGGCCCGAGAGCTGTCAGGCGGGGGCAAATGACAAGGAGCATGAGACAATTCCAGATGTTTGTGTGACTTCACAATCTCTCTACGGCCTATACACCGGACGCAACTGATTCGGAACTTCTGCATACCGTCGGCCTCTGATGCCTTCCATGGTCTCAGCTGCAGCTGACTGCAGTGCATCTGTAGCAGCGCCTGCAAACGACGTAATGTGGGGCTGCGCCAGAGTAGCCGCGTTGTGCAGCTGGCTCCCCAGGAAAAGGGCAGCTTGTTTGCTACCAGTCCAAAGGCCAGCACCTTGAATTCGATGATTTAAGCTGCATCAACGCCAGACTAAAAGTGGACGTTGCTGATGACAACTTTAAGCACCGGACCCACTTGCGCAGAAGCATGCCACATCCAGTCGGAATCCCATTGCGGAGACCGTGGTGCTGTGCTCGGCCCGACGGCGTTGCAGCAGCCGAGCGTCGGCCATGGGTTCTGCGTAGGCGAGCCAGCCTTGGAAGTCACACGCGCACCGGGCCTTACTGATATCGTCGCCCTACTGCTACCGTTCCTCCGCACCCCGACCCGAGAAATCCGAGAGCTTGGGGGTCCCGCATCCTCGTGCGCATCCACTTCTTCGGAAGTCGCCGTGGTCAGGGCGGCCAGAGAGCTGTCGATGTCCCGAGGACTCACAGGTAGACTAGCGATCTTCTCTCCAACTTTCTCGTGGTCACCTTGTGGAGAGAGTGCCTCTACAGGGCATCACACCCATGGCTCAGACCCTAACCCAAACACTGTGAAGACTCGGAAGCCTTGGCAGATCGCAGAAGTGTGGGCCGCTCGACGTCGCTGACGCTCACGTGGGCATCGCTGCTGACGGCAGACTGGCTCCGTGAAATCAGCCCTGGGCAGCTGAGCTGCGGAACTGCGGAGGCCCTCCCATCCGAAGGGGGCTCTGGCTCCTAAGCTGCAGCAAGAACCGGGAGCACGCACAGAACTTGCAAAAGATCTGCCAAGATTCTGCGACCGGTGCCGCAGGTGCCGCTTCTCCGATCTGCTTCTTGATCCCTCGCAAACATCCTCGATTGCCTTTGAAAAGCTCCGGCAGCGCACGGTATTGAGAAGCGCCTGAAGCATGGCAAACTGAAGAGCAGCGCGACGAGGAGCGATGTCTGAAGCTGCACAAGCTATCATGCAATCCAGGCACACCCACTGAAGCAGGTCGGAGCCATTCTCTTCAGCTACGGCGACTAATTAGGACCCAATTCGGTCTGAGCAGATAAGCTGCAGACCGGGGGCACAACATAGCTGACTAGGCACGTGAGGCCCAAGCCAAGGCATGGCAAGTCTAAGTCTCGAGATCGCTGCAGAGGATGCAGGGGGCCTCTGCAGGATGAGCAGCGACGCCTGGAACATCCAGGACAAGACCGAATCACCTACTTCTAGTGGCCTGAGGAGTCACCTAGTGACCTAGTGACCTAGTGATACTAGCAGACCCGGGGAATGCTGCGGCTGCATGCAGTATGCAGCATTACGGAGTGACATTGCAGTTGCTGGCCGTAGCCCCTGTCTCGGCACGGTCGTTCCTTATCTCTGTTGGGTGCCACCGATTTTTGGCGCCCTGTCTGGTTCTGGGTTATGGTCACTAGTACTCACTCTTTTGCTTCCGCTAGCGTTTCGCAGTTTTGTTTACACAGCGATCGTCCTTGATAGCATGGGTGCTTCTGACATGCAATCCATTGCAATCCTGCTCCCCACAAAAATTCGGAGCTCTGGTAGCTTGTTCGAGAATGCTGCCGTGACCTCGACACTGGCAGCTCGTCTGCTGCTTGACGGTATCTGGTGTTTTCTGTGGGGGTGTGTATGTGATCTGGGTGCTGGTCGGCGCTGCCGACCGCTGTCAAGATGTACAAGCTGCATCTTGCTTGGAAAGAGGGATGGCGTGTGTTCGGGTGGTTTTCTTGTCCGGGACAAGGAAGGGCAAACCTTCTTGTGGGTCGCCTGTCCACTCCATCGGGCATGAGATTGTGAACCGGCAGCCCTCAGCGGAGAAGGCATGCTGTGGCACCGACCAGTGACTCCACTCCCTCACGGCCACTTGTCGACACGGCTTAAGTCTTGCTCTCCGCTCCCAACCCCCCGCCTGACAGCCCACGGTGGCCGAACTTGCGAGCAAACGCAATTTGCTTTCTCTGGTCACGTGTTTTTCCCCTGTTGTCCGTGCTTTGGCTGCTTACACTTTGCGATTGCACGGTCGCGCTCAACAGTTCCCTCAAACAACACAGTTCATGAGTGGGAGAGGCGAGTGTCGCCCGTCCTGTCGGGCAAACACGTACACTACACAACAAGGAATTGGGTGTCCTGGACCAGTGGCACAGGGCTTGGCAGTGTGATAGTCTAGCTGCGTTGCTCTTCAATCTTTCTGCTTCCAACTCCTGTTGCTTGCGCTCCATCGTCTTTTTGCCGTTGCACAGAAACTTGATTGGCCTCTGCCACTGAAGTCTCTGCGGACCTTCCCGCTCTCGCCTGCAGTCTGAAACACTGCAACACAAAAAGAAAGAAACGGATCGTGCCCGACAAGAAGCAGAGGTGACGAGACTCTTCTTTCCTTTCCGCTTCTGACCACCCTCTCAATCTCTGTCTGTCTCACTCCTCTCTCCTCGTCCTCTCGTGCAAATCTGACTCTCGCAGGCAATGCTTCATTTCTCTCATATTTATGCCCGCCGTCTCTCTCTCCTGTTTGGAACCAGGGTCGCATGCCACATTAGGCTTGTTTCATGCATTTTCGAGATTCTGTTAGCAGTTTCTGGTAGTGGCGAGGAAGGCGTGAGCTGCATGCAAGGAAACTACTGAAACTGCGTGATAATGCTCAAAGCGGATCTTGCTCTACCTGTAGGTGGGTTTGAAGTGTGTTTGAACTGCGTCGATTCCTTGGCAGTGGCCGCTTGTCGACTTCCTCGTAGGTCCAACAGCCTCCAAGGTCAACGCATCTCATGAGAGCTGGCCAAACAGACCCTAGCACTGAGGCTCTTACTTGCGTTCAAGCTCCACCTCCACGCTGCCGCTCGATGGGACACCGGCTGCCTGCTAGGCAGTGCGAGGCTTCGATACGCTAAGGCTGAGGATGGTTCTGGCAAGGACCTGCTCCGGCTGCAGGGTGTCGCCTTGCTCCGGCACCTCGACCACTATACCACCCCCACTGGCACTGAAAAGAACGAAACGCACACGCCACCGGGCCTTGCGATCAGGGCCCTCCAACCCCGTTGGGACCGCAAACGATGCCTGGGCGACTGAAAAACGACAGATCATCGATAATGTCATGTGTTGACCAGGAGGCTGGCCAGCAAATGCGGCAGGAGCTGCCGCAGTCCCATCATCAGGGCGGCTTCCAGGAGCACGGTGCATTGGACCTTCCCAGCCCGACGTTCAAAAAGCACCGGGACAAAGGATTCTGGATTCTCAGCTTTAGCAGCAGTTGGGTCTACTGGACCACCCTAACAACAACAACCAAGGAAACCTGCATCGGATCAAGAATTTCTGAGTTGCACTTGTCCTGCTTCGACAAAGAGCTTGAAAGAAGCTTTTCGGACATGAAAGGGTCAGCTCACACAGTGCCAGCCTGCTCGGCAAACGCTGCCATCTCCGCCCAGTTGTGGACTGTAAGTGCTCCCACGAGCGTGTCCTGCCAGGAGCCCAGAGGTTGCAACCCCAGACCAGAGCTTACCCCCGTCTCCGATTAACACTAACAGCACGCTTGTGGTGTTGTACCGCCACTGCACGAGGCACTACCCGCTTGATTTTTCGCAGCCGCCAATAGTACAATGCACCCACCAGCTCCCACCATGCATCAGACGGAGCTCCACTAATGTCATACCAGAAAACCGTGTCCGAGGTAGGTGCTCCTTTGGCACAGAAGTCCGCGTGAGAGCACAGTTGCCACGCTGTTGCAAAGGGTCCGCTTGATTGGACACTGCGTTGGAATCTCACCTGCTGGATGACCCGCCATCCGGTATGTGCAGCAGCCTCCTGCACGGGTGCATCCTTGTTTCGAAGGCCCAGGAATCCACACAAAGACAGAGCAGAAACAAGAAAAAGCGAACACGTTACACCCTACAGCCGGGCATCTTCCGCATTTCCCCAGAGAATCCAAAGCGACCGACAGCCAAGTCGTAGTGCAGTAGTGCATAGCACATCCAGTGGCAGAAAGCTGCGCTCCAGGGCCCGTCTTCGAGACAGCTTCTCGTTGTCAGTTCCCGTGCGTGCATTCAGGATCTCGTCGTCATAAGGTGGATTGCAAACGAAGACAATCGGGTGCTCTTGCGTGGCAATCTGGTCAATCTGCCAGTGCTCCAGAGAGCTGTGGAATGGTGGGCACATGTTTGCTGCCCATGGAGAACTCGAGAAATTGGCCGCAGCAATGCGCACCGCAGTCTCATCGATGTCCAGTGCATAGATCTGTAGCTGCTTCAAAGAGCCCCTCGCCTTTTCCCATTCTTGAGCCAGGATCAATGCAAGAACCCCTGTGCCAGTGCCCACATCAACGAGCGTCAGTCCTGTGAGGTCAGAAGCATGTTCACCGCAGAGAGAGCGGCTTATCAATGATGCAAAAGCACAAGCAGCCTGCGTAGCGCGAAGTCCTGACGACTTTGGCTGCCACAAGCTAAATCGGCGAAAATGAAGGAAGTCCCCGCCGGCTAAGTATGCTTTGGTGTATACGCCGTTCAGAACCCTCGTAGCGCCTGCATGAATGGCAATTACTTTGTTGCACACATTGTCCATGAAGGTACGGTCTCGGGAGGCAATGAGGATTGTCTCGAAGATGGGTGGATCTGCTGTCAAGCAAGCCTCCAGGCACTCGGAAGCTTCCAGGCCCAAATCATCAGTTACATCATCCAGCAACAGAACGTTCGGATGCCTCATGGCCAGCCGCGCAATTCCAACTTTCACCGCGTCAATTGTGGACAAGTCGCTGAGAGCAGTGTCCGACAAGCAGGTGATACCCAGGTGCTGGAGCCATCTCTCTGGCTCTTGGTGCTCGTCCAGACTCTCACTGACCTCAACCAGAGAACACCCTGGGAGCTCGCAATCCTCGAGGAGCCACTCTCGGACGGTTCGCAAATCTCCGGCAGTTGCTTGAGGTTGAAAGTCTCTGCGGCAGAGAGCCAGGCGCCGGACCGCCGGTGCAAAGGTGATGTGCCCAGAAGCGATCAAGGCCTTCTTGGCGATGACATCAAGTTGCAGGCTCTTGCCGCACCCTGCTGGCCCAGCCAAGGCCACGCGATCTCCAGGCAAGACAGTCCAAGACGCACACAGCGATGGGAAACTTTCTGCGACAACCTGGCACAACTCCATGTCGTGATCGTTGTCTTTGCCATAGCATGGGCTCAGAAGCAGATAGACTGTCAGGAGGATCTATCGACATCTTTCCACGGACGCATCTCCCCGTGACGCAGCGCAGAAGCTCATGGGGTTGTCTAGTCTAGTCGGGCTGTGGTCGCTAGCAAGGTCGAGGCCTGTTTCTTTGCTTACGTCAGTGCAGTCTAGTCACAGTCTGAACCTCAATCGTTTGAAAACAGGTCTCCTCATTTCCTATTCGTTTCTGATGTGAAGAGAGTTCTAGGCGAAGTGTCTCCTGCGCGTAGAGTTGGAGCTTCCAGTCTCCGACTAGGCGCCCCAGGTGCAGCAGCTGCATCCACCACATCTCGGGCGGCGCCTGCAGCGAACAAAAGCACCCGACAGAGACAGCTCGGAGGTGCAAACACTTTCAGGGCCTCCTCCCTGTTGCGACGATTGTGCCGAAGGGGCCACGTGAGCTCCAAGTCATCCTGGGGCACGAATCACTCTTGCCCTGCGCCACAGAAGGGAAGTGGAAACCAATGGCCTGCGTGTACAGATATCGCAGCCAAGCAAAGACGACATCTGCCGGATAATCTTGCAGGTCCAACTCATATGTCGGTGCACCTCCACCTCGACACAGCATGTTTGCATTCGAACAGGTAGGTAATGTGAAGGTTCCTCTGCACTCTAGGACCTCCTCCGTCCCTCCGGCGAAGTCGAAGTTTCGGCATGGTGTCAGAGGTGTCGGATGCTCGTTGGCCAAGCCTGGGCAGAAAGCAGGCCCTGTGTCGAAGCTTGTCCGACACCTGCGACGTGCCCAGCACTGTGGCTGCAGCCGACCACCTCCTGCAAGTTCTGCGGGCCCATCAACCGACCTGGTTTGAACTGATTCCGATTTCCATCTCGATAGATCTGGCACTTCTGGCCTCTGCTCCGTGTGCAGATTGCAGCAGCCGGCGCAGAGAACCTCAGGCAAGGAGTGACGGGGCTTGGAAGAAGTTGGCTGTATCTTGGCCAGCCACGAACGCGTGGGCTTGCAGGTGCCCATCCGCAGGCAGCCATCGAGGGCCCCAATGATGCTTGCGCGGCCTCCAGCGACTCCAGTGGTCCAGCTGTCGCGTAAGCCACGTGCACTTCGAATCAAGCTCCAGACCCGGGTGGAGCGCACAAGAGGTCTGTGTCTGGGCCATCGCGATCTGGAGGCCGCAGGGTTTGCTGCAGCAGTGTCCACCTGTGTCGTTGCTGCAGAAGGCTGTCAATTGACATGAAGTTCTAGTCGTGCTGGGGGCCCGGCATCGCAGTCCCAATGGAAGAAGCCGGCACAAAAAGGGCCGGTGCACCCGGCGCATCCATGCGCAGCAGCAGCCTGCAGAAATTGACTATGAGTTAATGCATGCAGAAACTCGGACAGAGTCGACGGAACGCTACGTCCAGGGCTCGCACTGATCACAGAGCCGCGCCAGGCGCTCTATGCCCAAGCAGACACCGATGTGCCGCAAGTCACGCACCTCTCAATCGCTGCAGCTCAATACCAATCAGATAGATGACGTTGAAAGTAGACCAATGATGGCCTCCTGCCGCAAGAGCAGCCCGCGCGCCTGATAGATGTTGGGCCAGCCGAGGCCGGTCCCATGCCGTACAAGCACTGTGTTCAGTGTTCAGTATTTTCAAAACATGTCCGGGCCACCGCTCGCAAACGCGTTGGGCGCAGAGACTCCTCTGCAGCCTGCCAGTGTGAGAGGAGATGGCTTACGCGCAGTCGGGGGGCTGGGAGGCTCAGTGAGCAGGCCGCTTTCGAGGCGCCTCCGGGTTGGACCCATATTGCCGCATGCGAAGCTGCTGCTCCCTCTGCCATGCTGGGTGAGACCTTGAGATGCGACAATGGCCATTCGTCTTCTCACTCTGTGCATGCCGCTGCAGAAACCAATGAGCAAAAGACTCATCAATAACTTCGATGTTGCGAAGCCTGCAGTCTGGCACGTGAACAAAGTCTTCCTAGTCAGTCGGCACTTCGGCTAACTCGGATTAATGTATATATACTGACAGGTTGAAGGCAGTGGGAGTATGAACGGACTCAGGCTGGGACGTGTTTGTACAAAAATAACGAACCAGCCTCGCAGAGCAGCAGCGTGCAGCTTGGATCATGAGCAACTTTGATGAGGAAACAGGGGTGCGGACGCTGCCAAGACTGCTTCACCAAAGCTTCGCAGCTCCAAGCCGCTAAGCGTTGATGAAGCGGGCCCCTGTCAGCAGGTTGCAGGCAGCAGTGTGTGCGCTCGCAGAGGCTGAGACGGCCTGATGGCCCACGGCAGGCTGCTGACGCGATCGTGCTGCAGTGCTTGCTGCAGGCGATCCATATGCGGACGTAGCCTGGCAAGAAAAGTATCGCTGATAGCCGCCAATTCTTGACATCTGAGAAGGAGATAGCTCAGCACCCTGCATCCGAGCGCGCAGGAGGACTCCGCGCAGCTGTGACTACTTCATCGGGTAATAGCTCCTGGCGACAAGAAAGAACCAGAATAAGGCAGACATGCCTGCAGAAAAACTTGTTCTGCAAGATCCTCTTCAGACGCACTGTCATCGGAGCTGAAATCCGGAACTGTTCGCTTTGGCACTGCCACTTGTGGAGCAGGCCGTGAAGCCTGAGCTGAGTTGTTGCAGACTGTCGGCGGGAGAACGGGGATTTCTTCAAGGCTTCTAAGCTCCGAACCGCCATCTTGCTTCGCAATTCTCTCTTTGCAACACCACCGTTTCCTGGCATTCCATTGAGGGCGACAGCGCCTTGACATCGGGATCATACATCCTGCTCTAGCAAGGGCCTGAGTCAGAATCCGAGCTGAATGTTGGAACTGGCTTTTTCCTGTCAAACTCACCAAGCTGCATCCCAGCACTTCCCGGCATCTCACAATGAGACGCTGCGCTTCAAACTGCTGCTAGTACTAGATATGATCGAGCCTCGGGACCCCCGTCTTGACCTTAACGCAGCCAGGGTGTTGCTCAAGATGCCGCGGAAGAATACTGAACACATTGGCCACATTTGCTTTCCGCAGCGGCTTCATTAACAGTTTGCCGGCCTGTCCATTTTTTGGTTCAAGGAGAACAACAATTCAAGAAGGTTGAGTCCGACGTTTTCAGCACAGGGAAGCGCATCTCCTAAAACTGCAGGCAACTTCCATCACATGTGTTCCAGGAAGAAAAGAAGCAAGAACCAAGCATAGCATTGTGGAATCACGCGAAAAATGCCTGCAGGCCGCATCTTCAGACATGAGCTCCCGACCCCTCCCCTCGCCTCCCAACCCAAGGATGCAAAAAGAAACAAGTACCAAAACCCACACAAGCTGCAGAAGAAAGAAGCATTGTGCTCATTCTGGAATAGTACGAACTCTGCGCGCAGGTCACGTTTTCAGGCATGTAGCACACGAAGCCGAGAAAGCACAAGCTGGAAAAGGAGGCCGAACATGAAAGTCATCCCCCCCCCACCACCCCAACGAAAGAGATAACCCTGAGAAAAAAATGACCACCGTGAAATCTGCCGAATGCCACGATTTCGTGCAAGCCATAGGTGAAGCTACAAAGGCCTGGCCCCAGACATCGCCCCGAAGACTATGTAAAATCGTCCCTGTTCCCGAACCCGTTTGCTTTCTGTCAGATGTCTTGAGGATGCAGCCTTGGGTTTCTGCAAAGCCCCTGCAGGAAGAGGATTCAGCGCCTGCCAAGCCCGGATCACGCAATCCCTTTTGCCATGTCCCAACAACAAGGCACGCTGAGGCTGAGACCAACCCAGCCGCTTCGTCGGCATCACTGTTTTGGGCAGTCCTGCAAAGACACTGAATAGGATCTCGCCGTGGAAAAAAGGATCATCATCATGAGTAATGGACCATCATCATCTGAGTCTGTGACGTTGGATGCTTTCTTTGGGCCACGCTCCTTGACATGACGGAAAGTGATCGCATTGTATGCAGCCGATTACCACGCTTTCATGTTGGAAACAGGATGGCTGTGTCCAGTGTGCCTCTGGCGTGACCGATGCATTTCCGCAAGTTCGAGCAATCCGCCCGACTCGCTGCCCGTATCCTGCATGAGTCGATGCTAGCCGTGCAGCTTTGGACAAAGTGAGACTTCAGAGACCAGCTGTCCTCTTCCTCTCTCCCCGCGGCCTCCGAGCACAGGCGCTGTTTCCGTTTCCGTGGTTGGGACCAACAGCATTTGCCTCTGGGCTAAAGATGGCAATGGACTCGGGGCGAAGACGGACCACCTGGACAAGGCACGGCAACAGAGGATGTAATTCAACTACACTATAAAAAAGGGTTTGTTCCCCAGCAGCTCCAATGCCTGTGCCGACAATGCACGCCATACAGGAGAGTCCGTGCCATCCGGCATGGCCTGGCGAGGCAAGCTGCAAATGTCCAGCTTGCATCAAACCCGCTCGAGTGCGGCATTGAAACACGTCTGCGCGACCAGTCGAGCACGAATTGCAGTGCAGCACACGGGTATTCGTGCCTCTTCCTGCCAACTGAAGTAAGTTACCCCACGCAAGCATCAAGCATCCTACTCTCGATGCCAGTCTCGGCGTCCTCCGGGGTGGAGTCTTTCTCCGAGACAAGAAAGCCATCACAGAAGTCCACCAAGGTCGATGCCGCCTGCACGAAGCCAAACTTTCACACGCCGCACACTTGCTTTCTTTACAGGAAGCCGCTCGTCGAGAGCAGTGTGGGCCTGGCTTGTCGTGGCGAGGCCCTCTTCGTCTCTTTCCTCCTGCACGGAAGGAAGACACACCCAAACGACCCCAAACTCGAAGGAAATCTCATCCATGTCCTGAGACCAGTCAGCCGGAAGCAGCCTGTCCAGCCTGCGACATGCTTTGATCTCTCTTCTTCGCACGGAAGACTGCTCTGTTAAGGAAACACAAGCCAGGCTTACGGACTGGCAGGTGTGGCCGTGGCAATTGAATGCCAACCTGCACACGTCAAGGCCGCAAAATCTTTCGGGCATTCCTATGTCCCGGACCCGTGTCTGCCGCCTCCTGCTGCCACGGCTCCCACACGCACCAGCGGAAGCTTCGGGCTCGGGGCGACAAGCCGCGGTATCCAAGACACCTTTCGACGTCTTGGCTTCGACACAGACGTGCACCGCGTTGCACCGCGCAATGGGTCGCGAGGCCTGTGAACGTATGCCCTTCAGAGCGCTGTTGTTCTGGGAGGTGCCAGCCTTCATCCGTGGTCTGCTGTATCACAACGAAGAACGAGGAAGAACATCTCTACCTTGCCTGAAGTGGAGCGCCCCAGGCATACACAGCCCCGTCCTGCCGAAAAAGACTACTGCTGCGGATCGCCATGGAAACTCGTGACACACATGTGCGCCTGCGACAATGCCAAGGAATGGAGGCAGCCCGCATCGACGTGCACGACGCGAATGCCAACCAGTGCTCGAATGGGGTGCGGCCTTCCATCAGCATCAAATCCTTTTCCAGAGCTTTCGGCAAGCATGTGCTATGGCACTCGCCTCACCCACCAGTGAGACAACTGCCGCAGTCGGAACCTGTGGCCCCAAAATGCATGCAAGCGTGAATAGGACTAGTCTTGAGTCCAAGATGTCGACTGGAATGCCGCATCCACTTGTGTCGAGTTTGGAACCGGTTGGCCTTGCATCAGAACACGAGTATCACTACAAACATTGCTGTCAGCATCTCGAAGCGGCGGCCGTTGGACAGCTGTGCCTTGTCCTGTCATAGGACCACCTTCGCCGCCCCAGCTGTAAGCTCTCCTAAACAAAGCCAAAGCCCACGGCCACGAGATCTTAGAGCTGATAGAATGAGCTGAGGCAACTCTGAGGTTCTGGCCCAGCGGAATCAAGAGCAAGCGAATGTGAGTCTCCAGCGGCAACAGCCTGCACTTTAAGCCAGAAAGCGCCACTTACTTGACATTCACCGCGTCAGACTTCCAAAAAGGCGCCTGCATGACGAATGCCGCCGGACATGCGCGACTCAGTGTTAACCTCTGCCCCCAGCCCTTTCTCCCCCTTGTCCCTGAATCCCTCGAGCCAGCCACTGTCTTCCTGCATCTCGCTCCGGCTACAGATCTCAGGCGCCAACGGCTCATGCGATTCCTGCAGGTGTCCCACTCCAAGCTGCCCCTTGCTGTTGTCACCCCAAGACAGCAGCCTCGGTCGACAAGCGCCGACGTCGGTGCACTGGCAAGGAGAGCTACCAGCACTTTCCGTTTGTTTTCAGGATCCCGACTTCCCCGCAGCGGAGCAGAGGAGGACGAAGGCAGCACCAGCCGCAATGTCGATCCTGCAACAAACGCATTGAGGAGTGAAAGCTCCGCCTAGTGAGACCTGGTGCACCTGGCATGCGCTGAGCTCTCGACGTGCCCTCGGCCAGAGTTTCAATACGACGCGGGCGGAGCCTGAGCGAATGTCGAAGCCTAGAAGCTGAGCTCATTTCCCAAGTCCAACTCCGGCCATGCGAACATGCACGCTGATTGTCAGTCTCGGTGTCTGGCTGTGCTCGAAACTTTGTTCGAAATCCCAGTCGGCCGCTGGCACTCACTCCAAAGGTGAACACCTGCATCAGACTGTCAATGATCCTAAGCATACTTCAATACAAGATAACTGTTGCTTCACGCCTCACCCTCCGTGCTCATGACGACACTGAAACCTCCGCCGCAACTAGCCTTCGCGATTTTTGGCCTGCGGAATCAAGCGACAGCAATACTTCCTGCATTCGGACGAAACTCTTCGTGGTTCCGCTAAACAGTTTAGCGACGTGTAGGACTGCGCATCCAGCCTGAGCAACTGCAGCCCCAAATGCCTGAGCGAATGTCAAACCCTCGAAGCAGAGCCACACATACACACACACACACACACACACACACTGACTGACTGACTGACTGACTGACTGATATCTGTCTCAGTGTCTGGCTTGTTCGACGGTCTTTGTCGATACCGCAGATGGGAGTGCTTCCCCCAGCCTCGTAGCACCACTGGCTGTGTTTGCTGCAGTTCTTTCCGTTCCATCAAGTGGCATGCAGGTCACGTCTGATGCTGCACTCACACCCAAAAGCACTGTCTCTTCAGAGGACCCCGGCCCAGTGGTTCCATCTCCTGCTTTCTCATGCGCCCGCTGCCACCCTCGCCTCAAGGGAGCTTAGCTGTCAACGGGCACACCTACTTCATGAGGTCCCTTTTGCCCACCTGCACCTGTGCCGAGGAACTTGGTAACCAAAGTCGGCGTGCTGACCTGTGCAAGGAGATTCAAGGTCTGAAGGTTCAGCTCCTGGCATTCAAGGAAAGTGTCCATGGACCCAATCGACAGCCAGGGGTGCGTTGGCAGTGCTGCCGAGGCCACAGGCGGGGCCATAGCCCCAACCTCCAACACGCAACACGTTCTTATGCCTCCTTCTTTAGCTGCGTTGCTTGTTTGGTTTGCCGAGCACCCCGCTGTACAATCGGCCGTTTCTGGAAACGGCCAGCGTGTGGGCACCAAGCATGTCGCTGCCCACTGCCACCTCGACAAAAAACACACAAGACGAGCTTGGTCTTACGAGTCCGTCGTAGCGAGGACGGGGCCTGAACAACGTTAACCCTGGACGGAAACGACCGGAGGAGGTGTGGGACGAAGTCGCTGGTGCTTCGGCCGATTCCTGCCAAAAAAAGCACCCTGGCACAGTTCAGGCTTCAATCCTCCATCTCCTTTGGAATGGAGCGGATCCCGCGCGCGTCGGTCACCTGCTCAGCCAAGGCATGGCCATGACAGTGGCGAAATGGGGCGAAGACTCGGACGCGCCTCTGCGTGCACGAGGCATGGCCTGCAAACCCCTCTTGCTCTCTCAAAGAAGAAGGGTTTTTGAAAAAAATGCCTGATGCTTTGCAAAAGTGTGCTTACACACTGTTTCACACATCGTGCCTTCAGTCCCACAGATGCAATCTCGTCTTCCCCCTCACTGTCAAGTCCTTCCAACCTGGCCAGTCCATGTGCGCCACAGGAGCATCGGAACTGCCACGACTGATTGTCCTTACTCTGAGCAGGGAACGAGTGGTCGGATGCTGCAGCCCCATCTGACACGTCGCTACCACTTGCCGCCGTGCCAAGGCCTAAGCGATGCGGAAGGAGTTGGTTTAACTTCTCACAGTGCTTTTTTGACACCGACCAGAAATCACAGAGCCTTGAAGTGTCCCTTCAACGTGTGTGCCGTTGCATTCGCATGATATGTTATTCCTTGCACAAGCAATGAAGGATACTGCCTCTCTGCTTGCTTTGTTGAGGATGGAAGATCGACATGCATGTACACCGAACACCTTAACCCAGCCACCTGTCAGGGTACCGAAAGCACATCGATGCTTGGGCAGTAGTGCCGGTTGTTCGTCAGTAATCAGTCACACGCCGTGCGGATACAATGGTGCCACCGAAATGACGCGGCCGCTGAGCTGTCTGGCCGGCGCAACATTGCCCAGCAGGTGCTGCAGAATGACTTGCGATTTGCAAAACGACCCAATGTCGCCGCAAAGGAATCGACATCCGAAGCTCTCACGTGGACCATTCCTCTGAAGTGTGCTGTCCGCCTACTCTCGGGATGGACACCTTCAAAAGCTCCCGACATCGCAGGAGACTACACATCAAGCGTGCCATGAGCACAGACTGATATGATATGCATCCACCACAATCGCCTTGTCCGTCGAAACATCTAGCACCTCAGGCTCAGGACGCAGCCTGGTGGAATCATAAAAATGAACATCCTCAGTTTGGGTGCCTTCTGCGCAAATGGCCCTCACATCCTCCTGTGGCAACATCGGGCTGGGGGGGGACAGGGCGAGATCCCTGGAGGTTTGAGTACTTCATACTCGCTGCCATTCCACGACATGGGGAAGGCCACGACAGCAGAAGTAGCAGAAGACCCATCCATGGCAAGACCGCATGGCAGGAAACTCTGCGGCACTGACAAAACAACTGCCAGACGTTCGGGTCGTTTGATAGTCGTGCAGTAGAGCAGGGGGCTTCGAACGGCCACGCTGAGGTCTAGGCATTTGGAGATCTTTGATCCAAATGTGGCCACATCTCCAGTCGAAGTAACAACTGCAGAATGGTACCTGGCGCAATGCTGAGATGCCTCACGACGCTGACATGGTGCATAAGCGAAGCCGCGCGCCAGCTGCAGGCAGAGCCCACCACTTCGTAGCCTGGCACCATGCAGGCTTACCGTGCTGCAGACCGGGGCATGGCGCAAGGTCTCCCCGAATATCCCCCTGGCGCACCGTTGAGCACGCCACTGACCAACTGCGGTCGCGCGGCGTCCTGAGCCGCGCGGGGGGGCTTTGTGTTTGTGTCTCGCAGTCTCGCTGTAGCTCTTGCAGGACAGGGATTCTCAGGGCCAGGCAGCTCCACTTCCGAGCCCCAGTCGGCCATAGTTGCCGCTTCCCCAGGAATACACCTCCAAGCCGCAGAAATCCACAAGATCGGTCGGAATATTCCTTCAAGCCTCCATGCAGCATCAGCAGCGCCAGACCGGGCATCATGGGGTCAAGCGCAGGAAATCTTGAACACCCTCGATCCAAGACAGAGAAGATCGAGCATCAGCTCTCACTTGCCTGCTCCACAAGATCATATCTCATCAAGCTGATGCCGCAGCAATGTCATCTTGGTGGCAATATCAATATCATCCCAACGCCTGATTTGCACACCCTTTTTTCCACCGCTTGATTAAGCTCATCTGCGCTGGCATGACTGGAGATTGCAGCTGGCTGCGTCTGCTTTCTACATCGGATGGCACACACTACATTGCCTCATGACGATGCTGTAGCTGATCTTGTAAACGATCATCATCTATCCTCAACCTTCGGGCCATGCAGATGTCCTGTCCAGCCTTCGAGTGGCATGGCAGTACGATTAGGGCGAAGGCTCTTCGTCCGGGTTGCATTGCTCTCCACCCAGGGAAACATTTCTCAGGTCATAGGGTTGCTCGGTACGTCGCATCAACTAGAATCCAGAACCTAGAATCTAGAAATACATGATCGAGCAAAATTCAAGCATCACCTGCCGTGATGCCCGATAACATATGAGCGCCTTCGCAAGACACAATGACGTTCCAAGTCACTGTTGCGTGTCCTGGCTTCAGGCCGAAGGTGCTGCAGCCACGGCGCACTGAAACTACTCCCTCGCTTAAACTAATGGAAGGCCGAAGGACCTCCAGCAAAGTTGCAGCAGAGCTGCTGAAGGCTTGAATCTGCAAAATCTGCACCGCAGCACACGACGGCATAATGCTTGCGTAGGGCACTTGAGGCAGTCAGTGCTGCACTCACCCCTAGGCGAGCCATGTTCTGAGACAGTGCTCCGAACCCATCTGCTGAGATCAGAAATCACAAGGACCCTAACGACGTCGCGAAGTTGAACGTGAGTCTTTTCTCTTACTGCTACTGCCACCATTCTTCAGACTCACATTTTTCCTCAGCTGCGCTAAACACTCTGCCTCTGTCCATCTGCGATTGAGACCGGGATCAGATTTCACATTCCCAGTCTAGTGCCTTAGATTCAGCCAAGTCACGCTGTGGGATGGCCCTTCCGATCATCTCGGACTGCCTGGCAACACGTGTTGTAAAAGCATGGAAGTTGTGGCACCAGGTCACTAGCCATCGCTAGCTAGATGCTGCAGGCTTTATGTTCGCCGATGTCTGCATGCTGCTCCTGATCCTTCCAAGGCTACCGCATGGCAACCCCACAATCCCCACCCTCATGGATCCAACGAGAAACACGCGGCTGGAAGCCATACGCCTCATAATTGACTTCGTCATTGACCCTCAGCTCGTCGAACGGAACAGATTTGTTCACCGCCGTGCAGTGGAAGTAAAGGTCCTGCTTGGCCGTGCCCCATAAACCGGTTCTGACTGCAAGGTCTGACCGCAAGGCGCGGTTGTACTCTCAGGACAGCTCCACAGGCGTCCTTGTCGTTAACCTTGCCAGTATCTGGCCGGATGAATCCAAAGCCGGATCCCTGGCAGTGGGATCGTGGGTAACGTACTGCCAAAACTACTGTAACCCTGCCTTGAGATCCACGATTACTCCTGAGGTGCCCCATTCAGAAAGGGCCTCGCCCGGACGTCCACCTTCCGCAATGCATCACATCTGACATCTGACGTACCCCGGAATCCGGTGTGGAGGAAGTGCTGGGCTGGCCACCATCTGACCTGCTTCTGCCACCACGACGCCCCCTGAACACTACAACATGCAGTAGCCGTTCACGTTCCTAGAGCAGGTGGAACCCCTACTGGCAGCACCTCTCTCTGCTATCATCGCGTCTCCCACGTTTTGCTGAACGCGACCGGCCACGGCCTCGTTTTGCACAGGCTTTAAAGGTATCATCCCGACTTGCAGAAGACTCAAAGCACAGTCACTGCTGCGTCAGGGGCACCTGATCCCCGTCGCGGTCGAGAGTCGCTCCTTCCCAAAGCCACAGAGCGGCCAGTCATGCGCTGTAGACGCACCCCCTAAACCCTAAACCCTAAGTGACGGCCTGGAGTCACTGCGCCGCGGCATGACTGCTACTCTGCCCTCCCCCGAGCTGGAGCCGAACGCTGCAGGCCGAAGGCCGAGACCCATGGACACAACGAGCCTTCGGCTCGTGCAGTGGGAAGATTCCGGCTTCTTGGTGGAGTTCCCTGAGTAGTTTACCCGCCAAAAGCACGCGACGGTCGGCAAGTGCACGATCCGCTTCGCGGAGCATGTACATTTGCGTCTGCAGCGCCCCTATGCAGAGACACACGCACGCGCGCGAGTGCGTGCGCTCACTCACAACATGGGAAGCCCATGTTGCTGCCTCACTACCACGCTTCGCAGGCAGTGGTTGCTGGAAGACGGTTTGCAGACCATGGGCCACATGGCTCGGCACAACAATTGTCTCCGACACAAGTTTCATAGGCGGGTGCTTGGCGACAAGGTCTGCTCGCGTGAGCTCCAGAGCGCAGCTGCATTAACTTCTCGAGAGAGCACGCTGTTCACAAGCTCCATACATTTCAAGACTACAGGAACTTGTGAAAAGCTGCCAGCACGAGTGACTATTTCAAGCCTCCGCTTCATCGGCATCCTGCAGGCTTTCGTCACCACACCGAGGAACAAATGCCCCCCCCTCCACTACCCCGCTCCGTGCATGCGGTGCCGTCCTCCTCCTCGCCCCGTTTCTTGCCCCTTTCTCGTCGCTCCTGCTGAGATCATGGAGCAAAGGATTGAGCAGTCGCGGTTGTACTCAGAAAGCACCACTAGAGATGTCATCAGAAGGAGTGTCAGGCAATGTAGATTCGACGCAAAGCGACGCGATGTCTACTTCTTGTGCTACAGGTGCTGCTTAACCAAGCGGGTTAACAGCGTAGAACTGCCCTTGCTAAGACCCTTTTTCAAAACCCCCATGCTCCTTGTGCTCTCTGTGCTCACGATCTCTATGTTCCCTGGGTTCCTTATGCTCCCGCTTCTCTTTCTTTTCGCGTGGCTCCTGCAGTTGGCATTAGTTCCATATTGACAGCAAAGCATCTTGTGCTCATGGCAACAATAGATGCATGTGCCTTGAAAGAACACGCTGAAAGAGCACCCGTCCTTCTCCTTCCTATCCCTGAGCTCTTTCTGCTCTTTGCTGTCTTTCTCCTGAAGTCGTGTGGCCAGTCAATTCCGCTCCTCGTACCGACTTGGAGAAGAGTCATTAATCAAATCTCATCTGCTCTTCCAGCCTTCTTGTCACCATCCCTCCTTCGGCTCCGCGACTTTGCCAAATCATCCTGATCGGAAGATCCACTGACATGAGGTTTCTCATAGAACGCTTAAGACGTGCCTTGGAGCTGTCGGCTTGGCCAGAGCCTTTCCCAAGAGGTCAAGGATTTCAACAACACGCAGTACTAGCCGCAAACCAGACCCGTCCTCAGGGCATTTAGCGTTAGAATTGCAAGCAAAAGTTAACAGTGCAATGCACCGCTGCCAGCTGAAGAAGCATCTGGGTGGGACCAAAGTCGAGACTGTGTCCCTAAACACCCGGCCACCAAAGGCAGCGCCTGGCGGCTGACCTGTTTTGATTCGTCGAATGGCAACCTTTCGTAGAGGCTCATCTATGGTGCTCATGACTTGTCCGTTCAGGTGCAGATCTCCGTTCCTTGCCTCCGTCTGCTTCAGCATCCTGGACAGGTGCTACTAGCATCGTTGTTGATAGTACAGACACTCTGCCCTTTGCAGACACCCACAACGGTTGCCTATGCTAACTTCGGGATGGTGAACGAGAAGGGAGTGCTGTTTGGTCCATATTGATGTCAGAATTGAAAAAACATCAGTGCACTAGAAAGGCGCACCTATCCAGTTCACGGTACCTGCCAACGCACGTGAGTTGCCCCTTGAACAAACTCTGCTAATCAGCTATTCCTTCTTGCACATCAGCACCTTGATAGATTCATCCGCGGTCACAAGCAAGACAAGCCGCTCACATCGAATCGCATTTCGAGTGGCATAGATAGTAGTGGTACCCTTACTAGTTGGCCTTGGTCTGTCAGTCGTTTTTTGCGCCTGTCCATCCGAGAAGACAAGCGCAACATCTCGTCCTGTCTCGGACGACCGGAAGCCCCAGCAAAGCTTCGAGCAGAGCAAAGCGGGCTCCTCCGACTTCTGCAAGCGCTCCCGCACCTTGCTCCGCAGGTTGCCCACGCGCTCTTTCAGCTTGCCTTCTCCGCCTTCCTGGCCGTAAATTGGGGGGAGATCATGTCGGATGTGCAAGTAACCACGCACTGTGCAGATTTTTCGGATCGAAGAACCAGAGCAGTTGGCGGCTGTACTCGTGCGCTTCCCTGGCAACAGAATATCCTAGCTACGCCTCCCGCGCATCTAGCAAGGACGTGGGAACGTGGCCCTGCTTGACTAATCGCGACATGTTCTCACTGAGATGCTGGGGAGAAAAAGGTGTCACACAGACCAAAACCTCTGATGCACCGGCACGGGACTGGCTCGGGCAAAATCTCACAGACATTGCACCGAAGAAGCACCACCACCTTGCCTCTCGTTGAAGGCTGGCAGACCCTCAAGCAATGACGGCAGGGGCTTGCTACCCAACCGACAGCGAAGTCAGCCGACGTTAGCCAACTGCCGTGTAGACTTCGTCGACTTTAGCCATAAGAAGAGAACATAGTCGCGCGCGGCTCATCAAAGAGGAAGTCACTGATGTATTCTGCAGCCTGGCACATGGCCGCCATCAAGCAAAGATTCGACGTGTTATTTGGCACTCTGGGCCTTTGCTGCATCGAAGCCTTGTCGATGGCAGGCCAAGAAAAAGTGCTGCAGCTGAGCCATGGACACCTGCGAGCGTCTGACTTCTTGGCGCTTCTTGGCTAGACTTGGAACGCAAACATCACTGCCAACAGCTAACTGGACCAAGCCACTTTCCTCTCTGAAATGCGCCCACCTGCATCGGCTCTAGTTGGCTACTGAGCTGTCAGAGGATATAGCATCGCAGCTCGACCCCGCTTCAGTTACAGGGTGCCTACTGAGGTTCCGAAGGATGCAGCAGCATCTTCCGCGCCAGGATAGAACGTCAGGAAGTACTTCGAGGCAACATCCTTGTTCCTCGGCTATCTGTTCTTTCTTCTGCTAACTTCAACTGACCGCGCACACACACACATATCAGAAGTTTCCTCTGCAGCTCTTAGCATCGCCAAGGTTCGGCTTCTTAAACTCCGCTTTCAGGTCAATCCGTCCAGGCCGCATCACAGCCGGGTCCTTAGTCGGCAGAGACCGACGCCCCGCGCCACCTGTGTTCTATATGCTCGGGCTCGAAGACAAGAGCATGCGATCGGGCTTGGCGGAAGAGGACACTGGCGAACGACACGGAGAAGTTAATAGGGCTGCTGGTTGGAGTCAGATGTACCACTGACAGAGCAGATGGCGCGATGGGGCGCAGGTGAAATCAGAAGACGGTGGCTCGGCGGCGACATTTGTTTTGCGCATCTTCGGATGTCGCTTTCGGTCCATGGCATCTCAAGCCGCCAGCCTGTCCACGCCCTGCCACGCGCATAGTTGTTGAGGATGACAGCTGCACACATCAACCCCTGGCAGGTTCTAGGATTTAGATTAAACACTAAACACGCGCGTTCTGACAGATCAACTTCGTGGCCTTGCTGCTTGCAAAAGAGTGTGCTCTGTCCATGAGCCCAAGCACCACAAATCAGTTTACAAGAACCGGGGCGGGCACCAGCTTGTCCGGGTGGTTCGTGGTCATAAAGATTACCACATCGTCCGGAGCCCCGAGCCCATCTAAGCAGTTTAGGAAGCCACTGAAAGACCTCGGGATGTTCACAACTCTCCGGCATCGCGCAACGGGCACTCGGATGCATAAAGGGAGCATGGTAAGTGCTTTCCAGGCACAAAGATGAATTGTTGTGATCTGCTTCACGGTGGTTAGTGAAGAGGGCGTCTACATCTTCGAGAACCACCATGGAGAGTGCCGGCAACTGTGTCATGGCATTTCCTGGTTGCAAACCAGAGTCTGATGCAAGACCTGAACCATTAGACACCCGGGGCGTTGCCTTCATTTGTGATCAGGTTCATAGATTCCTAGCTGCGGCGTTCGCCTCAGCATTGAAGCAATTGAGATGCTCCGACGTAGAAAATGCAGTGGGGCTCGTGCCAAACACCCTTAATTTTGTGATCTGCGTCTTCTTCCAGGGACTTTTAACGAGTGGAAGTCAAGCCCAGCCAGCAGGAATTTGGACCTTCCTCTCAGGGCCTCTGGCGGGAGGACACTTGCCGCGGCCATCTGGCGTAGACTTCGAGTTGCAAGAAGCAACCTCCTGTGAGGCCCTGTTGCGAAAACGCTCGCAAAAGCAGTTTTCTCCGAATTGTGTGGTAAGGTCAACGGGGAAAAGCTTCCCAAGGATCGGCCTCGCCGAACAGGACTCCAGCTTTATGAAGATGTCTTGCCGAATTTGCCAGTGTGGAGGGTGGAGGTTTCACAGGGTCTACATTCAAATTATTGGTTCCGTGGCTGTTTCGAGTTGTGAAATTCACTGCTGCTAGACGGTACCGAAAGCTAAAGTTTCAAGACATGTGGAACCCTCCAAGATCCGCTGATCAATGGAAACCTGCGCTCCACTGCTTGAAAGTAGCACCTTGGACGTGCATCAGCTATCTCAAAGCCAAGCAACTAAATGTGTCGTCAGTCATGTGCTTGTCCATCTGGATAAAGCAAAGGTTGCGCTGAATATGTCCAGCTACGGAATTCATGAAAGATGTTTTGCCAGTACCGGGTTCTCCATGAAGCAGGTAGCAGCGGTGATAAGGGATTCCATGCTTGGCATAGAACGTCCGCGTTTCATCTTTCAGAAACCACTCGAGGTCATCCAGAAGTGGTCGCTTCACGCCTCGTCGAGAAGTCGCAAAATAGAATATTTCAGACTCGAATCAGGATCTATGCTTAACACTACCGCGCAGTCCTTCTTCCAGCACGATGCTGTCCAGACTGCGCGCCATCCGTCTGGAGATTCGCGACCAAAAGTGATACTTGGTATCAAATCTCCACAGCGATACCCGATTCCTCGGATGACTACGACAGCGGATTGACAAGCCGGGCTAACAACATCTCTGCCACAATTGACTGAGTTCAGCTCGCTTTCTGCTTGGTCTCATTGTCAGCTGCCTTTGCCGAGGCAGCGAGCGCTACTGGTAGCTGCCTATGCTTCTTCGGTTGATGATTTAAATCCTGCATTACCCATAATAAGGAATATACCATAATTCCCATATATTCCCTATTATGGGTAATGCAGGATTTATATCATCAACCGTTGCACCCAGCTTCCAGACCAAGCCTTCTGACAGAGTTTGAGGAGTGGCATCTGGTCAGTCCCCTCCACAAACAAAACCAACGATGAGAAAAAGGACGGACCATCACCTGTGGCTGTGGCTCGTGCAGCGCACTGAGTTCACTTCCAAACTCTGCTTTGGGACCTTAAGTATGGATGCTGCATGCCCTCTCTACCGCAGACGGCTCTGATCTGGTCTGTCACCTGTCGGATGCCCGATGCGCTGGAGAACAACCGTCACTTTGCACGTCTTGCCCTCGTCCCACTGGAAATCGAACGAGTGCCAACCTCAGCACGGTGATTACAATCCAGTCTAGCAGTCCAGCCTCCGGTTCAGATCTACTGTGGGTCTCGAAAAGAAGAAAGACTGGCCACACCTTTGGCTGCTCTGTAAGCTCTACTCACCCTTGTTACGACGAAACACGACAATCTCGAATTGCAACAGGCTCGGCTTCTGCACTTTAGCACGAAGAAAAACAACGCGAGATGCAGCTCTGTCCGCTAAATATGGAACCTTGGGAGAGAGTGGAGCAAGCCCTTTGGCCACGTGACCGAGGCCGATGTTGCCTGAAGGCATTTGAACTTCCCGCCTGCGCTTGCGGCTTGCACCGCCAACCTGAAAACACCGGAAGGCTATCTCAGCGAGGCGCAACAGGGTCCCAATCGACAATTTTTGTTGGCTCATTTCCGAAACATTCTTCAAACGAGCCAGTCGCGTGTTTCTGAAGATTCTTGCTATCCCTCTCTCTCCTCTCTGCCTTGCCCTTGCCCTTGACCATGACGAGCAAGTCATCAATCTCGTCGTCGTCTGCCTCGAGGCCAACACGTGCAAACGGGACTGCTCGCTCTCTCTCTCTCTCTCTCTCTCTCGCTGTCTCTGCGAGCATCCCTGGCTGTGTTGCAGCGCATCTCACCATTCGAGCCCAGATGTGCAGACAATGTGCTCCCAGTCCTCTCCCCTTGCCCATGTCTGCACGGATGCTTTTGGCATCTTGGACCTGACAGACTTAGACTTGCGCTCAGAGCAGCCCCCCATTTCAATTGACCCTGGGTCGCAGGCAGACTTGCTCACGTAGCGCAACATGTAGCTAAAGAGTGGCTCCTTGACAAACCAACACAGGCAAAAAAGAAAAAAGCTCGCTTGGAATCATCTGGGGTCTCCTCGTTGGACTGCACCTCCAAATACACGGCATTGCTGATGTCGTACGGCAGATGGAGCCGAGCCTTTGCACAATCGAAACATCCGTTGCAGGAGGGTATCTGAGACTTCTTCGCGCAATGCCTGATGCCCGTCTTTTTGGGTCTTTGAGCACTGGCCTCCTGCTCGAGAAAAGGGCAGGAGGATCGCAAAGGTTCCAGCTTTCCATTGACGCCATCATTCTGGGCCATTCTTAGTCTTCTGTCGAGACTAGTCTCGAGTAGACCTTACACAATCACCCGAGCCAACCAGTCCTAAATCTGATCCAATGCCGTGTTCAAGCCTTCCTCTCACATTACATTGCAAGCTGATTTGCAGAAGCTATCGAATGATTCATGTCTGGAGACAACATGAGCCAGCACAGCTTCAGCACAGGCACGCAAACTCCAGCAAGAAGAAGTCCATTCCGTCAGACAGGCACACAGGCACGGTACAAGTACCGGATCTGAGCTGCCAAACCTCATGCTCATCTTTCAAGCCGTGCAAGCCCATGCCTTCTCCCATCCTGCGGAATCGGACCGTCCCCGGCAATCCATCGCATCAGACGAAGGCTCACCTGATGATGCCTTTACCCAGGCGCTCGATGCCTTTTGTGAGCATGACCATGTCCTGCCAAGTGGTCCAAAAGAATCTGTAACTGTACAAGGCCTGGGACAGAGTGCACACGTCTTTGTCCTTGTTCTTTGCGACCCCCTTCAGCTGGGACATGCCTGCCAGTGCGCCAGGTCACCAGATCACCCGTGCAGGATGCTAAGAAGCGCAGCCAGGCACAGCGATAGATCGATAGATTGCCTTGCATGAACTCGGAGAGATCCAGCTCTCCCTGAAGGTTACCAAGAGACCAAGACATGTCTCCCATGGCACCACGTGGAGCTTCAAACGGACCTCACCGCCAGTGTCCAGCAGCGAGAAGAGCTCCATGGCCTGCTCCTCTTTCAGCCTGAAGGCCAGAGCTGTCCACAGCTGTTTCCCTGCGGAAGTTTCCCGCCCCCCCTGCAGCATCTTAGAAGCGTACCCGAGCATCAGAAACTTGTCGCAGATAGCAGGATCTTTGAAGGCCTTGCAGCATCGGAATGAAATTGCTGTAGACAGTGCTCATCACCAGAAGTGCACACAGAGGCCTCCTTGAATTCTGCTAGACTCACGATACCACTTCCGTCTTCATCGATTTCGCGGAACATCCTAAGCCAACCCCGGACACTCTCGGTACTGCGGTTGCGTGCAGGTTTCAACAGTCGAGCTTGGGAGCATACTCCTCTAACTCTTTCATCTCCCGTTCCTGTTCCCTTTTCCGAAGAATTGCCATCCTTGGAGCATGGCTCTTGAACGCTGAAAAATGAAGAAGGGGATCGGATTGAACTGGGCCACACACTCCTTCTCATCACCCTTCGACATGTCCATGGCCTGCCTCGTCGCGCTCTTCACGGCTTCAGCTCTCACGGCCGAGGTTCTCCGAGGCTCCCGCTGGACGATCACGGCCGTCACCAAGTTCAGAAGAACGAAGGATGACATGGCGGTAAAAAGCCAAAGAAAGATCCTGGCCGATTGGCCAGGCCAGAGACCGCAATGCAAGCGCGTTTTTAGGAAGATCGGTTTTGCCACATCGTTGTCCAAGCACTCAAGGTTGGGTCATAAACTCTTGTTCAGACGCACCCGGTGAGTACACGCACGGGTGCTTCTGCCTAGGTGCGTCCGTCAGCGAGCCATTTCTCAAAACCCTGGGCAGCAAGTCAAGGATGCAACAGGTCAGGCTGACCAAATCCAAGGCAACTCCTCCACCAAGGCATCCTGAGGTGCGCTGAGTGTGTTGTGCCCTGCACACTATATGTGTAGGGACCAACTGGGCCCTCCACCATGATGCCCTGTGAATCGTCACCATGCATAAAGCGCGTCAACGTCAACATGGACGCACTTATCCCTGCAGGGTCAGACTTGGGACCATGCCAGGAAACTGGCAGCCGGCACAGCGTGAAAAGGAGATTTCGCACATGAGATGTCCTGCCTTTGAACCTCTCCTGCGCTTCTTTGGCGCCATCGGAAGCATCCGCGGGGAACTGCTGAAAACCGATCCTGACGAGTTGGTTCTTGCTCAGAGAAATGTGGACGAAACGAAGGATCTGAGCCCTTAAGGTCCGCACAGCTCGCAGCAAAAGATGGCAAACACATACAGGTTGAAGACGATAAGGCTCATTGCTGCCAAGGTCATATGCCAAATTGCACATGCCAGCTGTTCTCGAAGCGATCCCCACCTGAGGCGAGAGTGCCTCCACTGCTGACGAGTCCGCGAACCAGCCTTCAAATGTCTTTGAATTCATCTGGGTTTACCTCTTCGCACACGGTGGGTCCGCTGGGCTTCCAGCTTCCAGAGATCCTCAAAGGCACTAACGTGTTTGAAGGCTTTCACCTCAGCAGCAAAACAGCGAGCCACTGGTGGGTGTGTTTGCTGGCTGCCGCGGAGTCTGCGCAGCTGACCAGCTGCACAAATCGAAGCATCCGGGCAATACGGAAAAACTTGAAGAGGTCGCTCCTGAGGACGCTTGACCATGCTTTTGAAGCTACCAAGCGTTTCACAAGGGACACACTCCAGTTGCCGGGGTCAACGCGCTTCTGCTTCAATCTGAAGCGGCTGCATGATCTGGCTCATACGCGGTAAATGCCAACAAAAGCTTTTCCCACGAGCAATCAACAGAACATCCATCTGGTGTTTCGGCTTGCAAACTACCAACGAATGATCGCCAGGCGTGCCCAGACGACGACGACCCCGGGGCACCACACGATGAAGGTGTCCAGGAGGTGCTCGCTGTCCTGTCACACGTAAAAATCGCGTAGCACTCAGACCACTTTGACAGAGGTTCACACCGGCGAAAAAGTCCGGGTCCGGGTTATTTCCAACGCAAGAGAATTTTGATCGTATGATCTCGGCTTGCAGATTCCTTGAACCACTTCAGGCCGAAAACCCGGACGCGAAGGCACCACTCCAGTAAAAAGAAGGCAGTGACCTCGACTGCGGCACAAAAGGGAGGAGACACATGGAGGAACTGAAACAGAAGCTGTCTCAGCGCGTGACCATGCTTTCCGAGAACTGTATTAAGAAGGGGAGGTCCACACTGTCGGTCTGCAGACAAATAACCTGGGATGTGCAAAGTGAAGACTTGATGCAGAATCCAGAGATAGTCGGGAGATGGCGAGGTCTTTACCGAGCTCGCCTACCCTATTTCGAGCTCCAGGCTATTATGCGTGCTGTGCTCCGGCCGCTCTCAATCCCTCCGAATGCTACTGCCTTGCTTCGATCGGCGAAGGGGATTGCTACGGGACTGCTACGGTTGTGAGAGGGCTCAACACGCTTCAGGGGACAGCTGCCCACAGTGCTTCGGTGGGACCTTCGGCTTCTCCGGTTTGAGCGCGAAAACGTAAGAGTCTGAGGCATTCGTTTATGGCACACCTATTCCTCGTGTCCATCTCAAGGAGGAGGCTGCGGAGCATGCGATCAGAATCATTTTGTGTACGTGCATGTGCTCTCTTGCACGTTTTCAACCCCTGCTTAACATTGGGATATTGGCCGTTGCTGCCTGAACCCAGCAGTTGCTGTTGAGCAGCAAAAACACTGAAGCAAATCGCACATCCGCAGGCAATCTCGAATTCGTCTGAGCACACGAACACCTCGAGAGCACAAGACTGCTTCCACTCCCCTGCCTGTCGGCTCAGAGCAACCGGCCTTCAATGGTCCTGCCTCGCTCTCCTGAAGCCACATCGAAACCCCATCACGCCCCCTGGATGCGGAACTGCCTCGGCTGCGCCTCCTCATGGGTGACAGCCCCAGCCGCATCATCCTTGGCCTCAACCTGAAACAAGAGGTACTCCAAGAAGCAAGCCGTGAATGCAATGACACAGGAGCACTTCTTGTGCGACAGCATCGGCCTTGGAAGGGTGTCCAACAAAATGCTGCGAGCAGTAAAGACAAGAAAGCTGGGTCCGCGGCCGGAATCACTGCTGACGAGTTCCTCATAGCATGAAACACGTGCGGTCGTGTCACATCTTGTAAGGAAAAATCGCCGGACCTTGAATTGACGAATGTTCACGCATGATTCGGCAATTTTCAACTTCAGCAGAACTTACAAGGAACCTATGGGCTTGTTGTATTCATGTCTCAACCGGAGTTTGGCACAACGCCATCGAATGTAGGCCAAACAATCATCGACAGACCCGGTGCCACTCTGATCCCATCTTCGATGACAGAGGTTGGGCCAAAAAGTCGGTGCTTAACGAGACACCTACTACCGCCTGCAAGTTCGCTCACACAAGCACTTTCGCCAACAGACAGCGTACTGGTGTTGGGCATTGTGGACAGGGATATGATCCTTTTGTTTGAATTTCGCGGCGAGGACATTCGAAACATTCCCATGTAAAACCGCACACCACGATTCTGGACATTTCCGTCTACGGTGCATCGGCCAAACCAAGCCAGCAGCAGTTACAAACGGAGGATGTGAATTTCCATGCAAGGAACAAAACCCATCTTCGTGCAAAAGGTGAAGGGTCCGAGCAACCTGTACATCAGCAACCAGTCGGGGCCTCAATGCTTCCATGACAGACCCATGGGAGCAGTGGCAGCCTGAATCTCGTCCCGACTCGTCCCCTTTGTCCCGCTTCTCAACTGACCGCGACTTTCTGACCGTCGCCTCTGCACGCCGCATTGGAGCCGGAAGAACCATGGAGGCAAAACACAACAGCCAAACACCCAAGAAATCTTTACCTGGGACCAATGCAAGCACTCTCGGATGTCGCGTGTGGGGTCGCATCTCTCAACAGCAGGCGTAGCCTTGAGCCAGACCGAGGTTTCTGAGAAATGCTCTGTGCACTCTCCGACCTCGGCCGCCTGGACAACATGAATCACTGCACAAACTTGGCCATCTTGGTCACGGATGCTCGCACCGGTCTTGCAGAGGTTTCTGCAACATGCCACGCAAGGAGGAGGCAAACTGTGGAACATGTGGAACATGTCCCTCAGCTGCCATCCTAGAGCTGCACAAATATCGAATGCGTGGACATGCAGCTGCTCACGGAAGGTCAGCCAAGGCTTGTGCAACAACACCATGCACAGCAAGTTCCGATCGACGGTAGATTAGTGATTCTTTCGTGAGCTGAGTGAAACAACTCCTGACCCTGAGTTACATGGGATTGCTTCCGCTGATCCCCAGCCCTGCTTCCGTCTCGACTTGGGCCAACCGTTTTGAACAAGCCCTCTTGCGGCCCCATTACATCACGGTACAAAGTGCCTTCAAACTTTCCGCAGATCTCATTATGAGACAAACTTCAGCGACTACTTTCAGCTGGATTAATTAGAAGTTAGAAGCACCTGCCACTAGGAGCTCGTCCCTTTTCAGTGCCATTGCAGAGAGTAGCCCTCAATGCTAAGCGACATGGTTTGACAGGTTTAAAAACCCAGGGCTGCTAACAACTCGAATAACACAGATACATGCCTGATGGAAACTTCCTGATTCAGATGGAAACCCACAGAACTCCAGCTGTCTCAGCTGACAGCTGCATCAACTGAACCGGATCTGCATTTATTTCGAACACAGTGAACGCAGCTTTGTGCTCATTATCCAACCCACGTTTGACCATCAGTTTTTCGCAATCCTTCCACGCAGGACGGAGTCTGTCTGCAAATTCATGTTGAAATCGCTCTGAGGCTGGAAAGCTTCACATCTTGTGATATCCGCAGACCAGCATCACGGATGGCGTTGTTGCAGGATGGCGTAGCTTTGGGCTCCACCAACCGCAACTGACAGGCCCTTGTACGTGTCCTGAGCTATGCGCACACGGACAACCACTGCTGCATCCGCTCATCCGAAAGGAAACTCAGGTTGCGGCGAATGGGACGTCATCCACGGCCTGTGGCTTCACAAAGGTATCATCGGTTTCGTCGCCGATGGCCTGCTTCTGCCTGTTGTACCTCACAGGCTTATGCCGAGCCGCAACCTCATGTCTCATCAACTTCCGAGCACAGGACCCCCAGCCACGCAAGGTTCCGTCCTCGTATCCACGTGCTTCGATGTTCAGCTGCTCTGATCTCTTGTTCATGGCAAGAAAAATTCCGAGCAAAGGACGTAGCACACGAGGAGTCCATGCGCCTGCAATCGAAAGACTAAGAGGAATTCTGACAAATACACATCGGATGGATCAATGTGCTCCGGCCTCTCCCACAGAAGCCTCTGTCACGACTTCAGTCATCACCTCCGACTTTAAGCTACACACGACAGTGGCGCCACGACAAGATCGACACAGCAAGCTCCTCCACTTTAACTCTGCTTTGTGTCAATGTCGCTTTGTCTTATAATGCTGCTTGGAGAGAGATCGCGACCTCGACACCTGTGGTGCTGACCATGTCCATGACACCAGCCTGACATTGCGGATGCCAACACCGGGGGACAGGGACGGCGGGCACCAAGCCAGTGCACAAGGCCTCCGGTTGAGGACCTCGGACTAGTGAGAGCATCTGAGCCTCTTGTGCCCTTGACCAAGAGCCACAAGCGCCAAGGTCCGCACCACCACCCTTGTAGCCACCACCCCTCATCTCAGGTGCAACTCCATCGCCTTCTTCTCCAGCCTCACAAACGGCCCGTTCCCCCATCCCAACCGAAGAAAAAGCCTGCATGCCACGATCTTTTCTGTCCTTGCTGACACTTGCCGCAGCACTTTGGCACGGGCATAGCAACGCAACTATTTCTGGAGCCAGACTTCGCCATTGTTCCAGGTGATGGTGCGCTGCGCCTCCAAGGAAACATGTCCAACAAGAACTCGACCGTCGTGATCGAGAAATAAAGTGTCGGTGCTTGTCGCAGGCAGCCGGAACACTCTTGCGTTACGAAGCCCGAAACGACCAGCGTTTACAGTGAGAAACCTCTCTGAAATGGTGGCAACTAGCACACATGTATCCTCCTTCATATACCAGTTTCCCTGCATGCCGTTTAGCAGTAGCATGTCCCGTGTAGGCTCATCTATCGCATCTTTGCTCCAGAAGGTGGCAGGCACGCTGAGTGAGGCATAAGTCTCAACTGCGTCCACCTCCTCTGCAGTGCAATGACTGCACATTCCACATTGCCACAATGCCATGCCACTATTCCGAGGAGCCCTGTCAGAAGGCCGTGGTAGTTCACTGAAGCTTCAGGTACAGCATGGCAAGGTGGGCTCAGTGCATGCTAGTGTGGCTTGAGCCTGACCAACGGCAAGCAACATGGCAAAAGATGGCACCCGACTTAGCAACAATGCGAAATCACGATGGCTCCTCCAGGTGCTTCCATGGCCACTACACGCCGCCTAAAACTACAGCTGCCCGATCCCATGTTGCCTGCTGCATGTCGGCAACGCTGGGACCCTTCAGGACAGTGTCATCAGAGCACATGCAAAGTCGTCTCAAGTCATCGAGAGATCTGTGCTGAGCCTCTGCTCGAATGCCGCCACAAATGATTGGACGAGCACTTTCGGTGATGTAAGCCTTGCTGGAACATCCTCTAACAATTAACTATCTTGCCTTGGGAGGTAGCCGGCTCAGCTGCTGGCTGTACATTGCCAGCCGGCACGCACTTTCGACACCGGATCGCCAAGTGGCACCTCGACCTTCGCACAGCGATAGACGGGCCAACGCGCAATTCCCCTTCCCCTTCAAGCAGGCCTACAGTACAGGCCCCGGCTTCTCAAGCAGTTTGCTACTAGCAACTACCGCTGCCGTGTACGCACTCTGAGTTCCCTGCCGGTTCGGGGAAGCATTGCCGCATGGCATGTCCCAGCCTCATGCTCCAACTTTGCGATTCAACTCTCTGTTGTTCAGGAACTAAGCTGATCACTGGCCGTTGGTGTTGGATCCCCAGCCTGTCTTCGTATTGGTCAGGCTTCCTTTGCTGAAATGCTTTCTGTCGTAAGTGCCGTGCCAAAAATTCGACAGCTCTTGGTGATAGCCACAGTGTGACCACCACCACCTCGGCCACTTCGGCTCGTGAAGGCCAGCCGCGGCGAAGGGCTCAATTGGACGATTCGGCGCCTTTTGAGGCACTCGATGCCACTCGGACCCGGGCACGCAAAATCGATGACCTCTTCACTGTCCAGAAGGCCCTTGACCTGTGGGGCGTAGCCGGCAGAGGCGAGAGTCCTCGAGATCTCTCGCTGCCTGGTTCGGCCGCTGCTGGCCCACTCTGCCTTCTCCATGAAGGCCCCAACCTCACGGCCGAATTGAAACAGAGCTTTGGGGATCATTTGAGTCGTTTTTGACAGCTTGATCTTCGTAGAATGTATTTGCATTACCTGCACAGCCACTCGTCAAAGACCAGTGCAGTGCTCCGCTCTGTTCGTGAAGTTGCATGACGCTGGCAAACAGAGGCAAGTCCGCGTGTCGAGTCTCGGAGCTCCAAGTACGGGACAGTGGGTGGTGAGATTCCGACACATACCGAACCCTGCTTTTAACTCACAATCCGTTTCTCAGTTGCCCGCCGAGTTGACCAAAATCGTTGTAGCCCCATGTGTAGAGCTGATCAGAGCAACTGTTGACTCGTCTCGCTGCCATGTCTTTGACAGCCGACGGAGGTGCGAGGGAGCCTTACCCTCTTTCGTCAGCGCGCCCATGTGCTGGTCACCGGCAGAAACGCGCACGATTTTCAGTCCCTGCAAGAGGAACGAAGAACGAAGGGGCTTAGTGTTCGCGCCCGTTGGCTTCGAATGCTTGAGGGCACGAGGAAAGTCCCCATGCAAAGTTACGAGTGAAGCAAACAACAGGTGCAAAGAGCCTTGAGACCCATCTCACCCTTGGCTTCGTAGCCGTTACACCTCAGCGAACAGCTTCGCATCATTCCATCAACACGACATGCCAACTGAGGCAGGGGCCAAGTCTCTGTGAACATCCTTGGGAAGTTTGAAGCCTGCAAGTTCCGGTACGATTCTGCCCCCGGCCCCAGCAGAGACACGAGAACTTGGCCTGGAATCGGCCCCAGCTCCACACTTCACCACGCTTGGTGACGCCGATGGTGTAGTTACCTGAAGGCATCGTTACGCTCAACATTCTGGCGCCCTTGCAAAGGACGAGTGCGATCTTTCTACCCTAGCCATGTTCTTGTTTTCATCTTAGAGAAGTACAAGACCACACGGTCCACCCGTGCACGGAAGCAGACCCTCGGACCATGCTGTCTACCGCACGGAGACAGAAACGTACGAATCCATTCCTGCCTCCGGCAGCCACTTGTGAGATGTATGTCTCATAGGGAAGCTCTGTGTACCTGATACAGCACAAGGACGCGGGCTTGTATAGGTCCATACCGCCAGCTGTGAGCCAGTCATCGGGGCCGTACGATGGCAACGCTCTGTTTTCCTGGAGCAAAGCTTCGGGACTCTGGGATCACTGATCAAGATCTCACAATCCTCGTCACCCGTACCCAGCTGCCCAAAGTCGTTCTTTCCCCATGCCTCGGGAACAGGCGAAACAGCCGCAACGACATATTCCCGCGAAAAGGGACAAGGGCTTTCTTGCTGAGGCACCGGCAAAAATGCGACCTCCCTCCGTGAGAGCAACGGCATGCTCTTTCCCGACGCTGATCTTGCGACCGGGCACTAGCGCAACTGCACAAGATGCCAAGAAAACAAACATCAAGAAGGCACCTGGCAGATTCTCTTGCGCTCGAGTGTCAGAACTGGTGAGGGTGTATCACCTGACTTTCCGCAATGGTGCACGAGTCAAGCAGGTCGGAAGCGGCACCTTTGGGATCGCTCCAAGAGTTGGCCCCCCAGAAGTACACGACATTCTCCTGAAAGCCGAAAGTATTGGCTGCAAGCTGCCTGCTGTGGAGGTGCCGGCCCTCTTCGGTGGTAAGCGCCTCACAGGCGGCTTCCCCGGAGGTGACCTGCAGCCCCATTAGCTTCACATCTATGGACTCATGATTTGTTGCCCGTCGTCAAGATTAAGGAGCGCACCCATCTACTACGTAAATCAGACCGCCATAGCCAACATATCCAGCAAGTGAATCCTCAACAGATCATTGCATCGACTTCGCTGCGAGACTGAGTCGAGCTGCCAACCTCGTCCGGAATGGCGATCCCTGTCTCGCTTCTGAGATGCACACTATGAATCGACCTAGGCTACATGCACAGGGTGCACCAAGCTCGCAATCTGTTGCGCTGTCTGGCGTGCTCTGACTGCACACAACACACCTTTTAGAGTCCTAGAGGAAGGACGTAACATGCTTGCACCAGGGCGTCTACTCATAGCGAGGCTTCAGCCATCAATGGCGTCCCTTTGAAACTTGCGGCCTTGCCAAACAAGCTGGTGATTTGCATCCGGGAGCCGGACAGCATGTCTCGGACTCTGTTGTAGAAGTTCACGAACATTTTCTTGATGGCAACAGACGGTCCATCCTGGTAATGGTAGAAAACAAGCCTGAGGAACATGAAACGGCACCAGTAGCCTCGAAGCCACCATGCTTCGGTAGTCTGGACTTGATCCATGCAGGAGGACCTTTTCTGCCTTGAGCAGAAGCAAACGCACTGCACCAGCAAACGTTATGCATCTGCGTTGAAGCATGTGCTACCTTCATACTTCATGTAGAGCTTGAAGCGCTTCTCCTGAAAGCAGAAGTTGCAGTTCTCAGACAAATCAGCTCGAGCAGGAGTCGGCTGTCGTCCTTGTGGGGCTGGATGAACTTGGGCTTGTGATCTTCTCTTCGGTCTTCCGCTTGCTCACGGAGCTTCCTCGACATGTTGCAAACGCATGCGACATGTTGCGAACATTCCAGCATATCCTGCCAGGCCTATCTGATGTCCGCTGCTCGACGACGCTCCTGTAGGCGTCGGCAGTCACGCCCTGCAGGCACGGGCAAGGACCGGCTTCAGCTTCCGCTTCCCAAGATGTCATGGTCCAAGCAGCCTCGATCTCGGCGACTTCTTCTTTGTCTTCTCCATGCAGAGGCGGCGCCTAGTTCAGCCGGACCTACGCCCCTCACTGAGGTCGTTAGAACAGAACCCGCTGCTATATGCTGGCGGGCTCAGAACAAACATACCAGGAAGGCGTCTGCAGCAGCCATGCTCTGCGTCGGACCTTCACGTAGCGAGGAACTCCCTTGGACAGCGGTGCAACTAAAAAATAGCTGGGGTTCCGGCAAGCAGTTGCTCCCTGCTTCCTATACTATTTTTGAGCGGCAAATGCTAGTGGGATACTGATGTCGCAACTCTGCACTCCTGAACTGTAAGACATTTAAACCACGGTTGGCTGGAGATGCCCCAACAAAGCCCAGAAGAGAAAGAACCATTGCTCCATGGCTTCTTTGCTTACCCCGTGGCACCAAGCTGACAGGTAACAACAAGCAAAGCAAACACAATCAGTCTCTATTTGTAAAAAGTGGTGTATGCCGCACAGGAGCATGCGATAGACTGCAAGAACTGGCAGCCAATGAAGTTCCTTCACCACAACACTGCCGAGTTCCATCAGGAGCAGCCCTCCTTTTGTCTGCTCTCTTTTGGTGTCTTCACACAACGTGACTTGCGCGCAATCGTCGTCGGCCTTGCTGAGATAAGGAGGTTGAATATCAAGATTGCTGTCCTCCGCCTGAAGTAGCTCACAAGGCAGAATAAGGGTCATTACTCGGCTTTAAATCCTGATTCTAATTCTAATAAAGGTGGCATGCTATGAGCCAAATATGTCGCAAGAGAAGAACTGCATGCTCGCCGTGCTTCGGCAAGTAATAGAACACCCACATCACGGCCTCTCAGCTCCGAACGACCCTAAAGATTCTCATCAGAAGTTCATCGACTGATCGGCAGAGCAATGCGCAAGCTACTAGTAGCGATCCAGTAAACTCCTTAGCTCAGGCTCTACAGCTCTTGAAAATTCAACGACGCGCCCGGAGCAGCTGTTAAAAAGCACGAAGACTGATCCAGAATTTCAGTAAGCTTCCGCTGGGAACTGCAGCTCTCCAAGCCATAAGGTGCCCAGAGGCACAGACTAGGCGACCTGCTAACTGCAGGGCCTCATGTGCAACGCACTCAAGAGCTGTTGCTTGTGTAAGCCTGGGTTTCATCTGTGCCGGGCGTCTCAGATTCTAATATCGATGGTATGGGTTTGTCATTGCGGTGCAAGGAGCTTTGTCTTTGAGTTGAGACCCAAGCTTGACGCGTCACAGGGAGCTGGATAGCTCCTCTCTGGTCGAAAACATGCCTCCCAAGCACTGTGCAAGGGTATATGAGACGTGCAAGAGACTCGGAGCATCTTGTAAGTTGACCCACCTGGCCTCGAAGCATCATGCAAGATCTGCACCCTGACAAGGTGTTTACTCTTCCGCTGCAATGTTTTCTTCGCACTGGAATGAGGGGCGATGACACCACCCGTACTCTCAAGCTTCCAGCGTGCTAACAGGTAACCCTCTAGATCACTACTCAATGTGACGTGTTGCGAAGGGACAGCTGCTCAACTACAGGATGCTGCAAACTGCTGAGACACCACCATAGAGTATAGTTCGGGAAGCGACGACAACACTCCATCTCTGCCAGGGATTCACACTCAGAATTTGGGATGTCCTGACATGCGCCGCAAAATGCAACATGCTATTCCAGGAGCAAACACACTCCCCAGTCGTTGTGAGGAGGGTCTGACCTGTGGACCCCCAGCCAACCCATTCGCAGACTTGCAACCAGGGGTGCTGCATCTGCAGCAGGCCGCTCTCTTCTCATGCTTCCTTGCTTCATTTTATCATTATGCTTCTTTACTATGTCACATCGCATTAGCCTTCAGCTTACAGCAGCTTACATGTCTTCTTCTCTCCTGCCTTTGGGTTTCTCTGCGTTTCCGTGAGGCGTTCTGCCAGCCCTATCAACTTAAGCAGCTCTATTGAGCGGCCCAAATCTAGCGGGACCCACATAGGAAGTTTGGTCTAGACAAAGCTGTGATCCGGCGCAGAGCTCTGGAGCCCGGCAGCTGGGGATGAAGGATGCATTTTTGAAGGCAAAGTTCAGGCAACTCTGAGCGAGTTTGTTCAGGATGAGCCATGATTCGGTGCTGACATCAGCCTCGGTACTGCAACCGATGACCGGGGCGCAAGGAAAGCCAGGAACAACACGGGAGACCGCAGGTCGGAGCAACGTGCCGAGGCTACCAATGTTGGGAGCCTCTGCGGCCCACAGGAAAGTATGAAGGGGAACCGCACAATGCACGAGTCATTTCGGCCCCACCCGACTGGATCAGTCGCCGCAGGAGTGAAGAAGGGAAGCAAAGACAAAGCTCTTGGTCCGGGAGCATTTACGGCGCGTGTGGACCAAGCCTAAGGCGGAACAAGGGCGCTGCTCTTTTTCGTTCCTTACCCCCAGCATCCAGCAAGCCTCCTCATCATCGGCACTTGCATGATGCTGCGGATCCACATCCGTATGGTTCTCATCATCCTGCAAATCAAACTGCCATTGCAAGCTCTCCCAACTCAACATCCACCAAACTTTCAGCTGAGAACCGAACCGAATGCCCGTAGAAAGAATCTAATGTCTCTGTCCACCAGTTGCAGCCTCGGTTTGGGTACGCCGACGCTCGCGAGCATTACCAGCTGCCCAGGCTTCAGCATCCCAGTCTCTGAGACTCCAAAACAACGACACACCGATAAGACTGACAACTCTGGATTGCCAAGTTCCAAGCCAGCCATGTAGGCTTCATGCGCATCGGTAGCCGGACCCACGATCTTGCAGCAGGAGAAGCTTTAAAGTAGTCCCTACTTGCCAACACTGGATCCAGCACCTGCACGAAGTCGTCGACATTGTGCATTGGATGACTTGTCTCTGCAGGCGGCTCTTCCTCGAACGGATTCTGTTGCACCCAGTGTTCGTGACGACGGCTTTGTTTTATAAGACTCCAACACCCTTTTCGCTTGCATCACTTCTGACCTCGCGCACGAGAAATCCGTGATTCACAGCTGACCTGTGGGTGGCCAGCCTTTGCTTTTGCCATTTCAGTGTGAGCATGTGCGTGAAGGCACCTCGGTCCAGCGCATGTCCAAGGCATAGCACCGGCTGGTGCCATTCGGACCGCTCAGTCCAATGCAAAGTCACGTTCAACACTGCCGGGAAGCCAGTGTCCACAATCTTCTCCAAGTCTCCCTGAGGCCAGGCAGTAGATGAGCCCAGCACATCCCGGGCCGCAGGCAGGTTGCACCTTGGGGCTGGCCACGCTGGATTTCCATTTGGAATGTACTGACCTCAGCTGAAAACGCTAGCATGGGATGCGCCCAGTGTCGCCTGCACTTCTGGAATGCCGCATGATGTCACCAAACTTGACGGCTCAACATGGCTCAACATTTCGTCCAGGGACGCGCCGCCTGGTTTTTTCTCACCGTCCTGCGTACAAGTGAAGATGAGCAAAGTGTTTGCAATTCAGCTCGCGAGAATGCCTTGCCAGCGTCGTACTTGAACAGCAAAAGCCTCTGCTCCTCAAAGATGGCCTGGTCACGAACTTCCAAGTTGAGATGCCGCTGCAATCCTCTGGGCTGTGCTTTTGCAGGCGGTCAACGATACTTGCTGCGCGTCTCTCCTGTCTCTGCTCGAAATGGATGCTGCGATCGATCTTCAGCCGTGCACTTTTGCGCCGGCCACCGAAGGACGCCAATCAACGAGGACGATGATGTGAAAGTCCAACAGCCCGACCAGCCAATTCGAGCGCAAGCTTTTTAGAGGACAAGAAAACTGTGTTGTGGAGCAGATCCTCATGCCGAATGCGATTTAGACCGAGTTTCGGAGCAGGACAGGGTCGGCTTCGAGCAAGTCTGAACTTCGCTCTACGAGTCGATTCTAGATCTTCGAGCGATGCACATAGCCAACAGGCTTTGCCTACAAAGGCGCTGCATCGGTAGAATTTTCGCAGTCACGTCCGTTCCGTCCGCTCGCGTCTTGTGCGAGGCACCCCATTCAAAGGTGCTTGTCGGTTCGGGTGGGTTCCGGTTCCAGTTTGTCCTTCCAGGCCGTGTGTCAAATTGCTCTTCCCGTGCACAGCTGCTTTCACACGGCTTCGCTAGCTACCTGTAGTGGCTGCCGAAGACCGTGGAGAGCCTGCTTCTTGAGGGTGAGGGCATCGAGTTCCATGGCTTCTGCTGCCGCCCAAAGCAAGCCGGTCTCACCTGCGAAGCCCAGCTGCAGCCCAGCTGTGCTGCGCTCTGCGCTCTGCATCTTACGGACCCTTTCCAGCTGGACCGGACCTCGGCCCTCCCCAGGCTTCCATCTCAGCAGCATCATCGTGTTTTTGTCCCAGAGATCCGCGAGCCTTGGCCGCACACGCGAATACACGCGCACTGGTGCACCTGTCGAAGATCACCAGATTTGCCATGAGAACCGCGCCCATCGTCGAGGTGCAACGAGTCCGGAAGTTCGAAGAGACCTTCCTTGGCTGCATCTCTACAGACTCTACAGCCTCAGGCCACGGATGAGCTGACAGCAGCTTGCCTGCACAGGGTGGAGCATGATGTCCCACATCGACACGGCAGCGCAAACCAAGCAGCAGCCCTCAGCAAGACAAGACTGGAGGCATCTGGGGGCGTCCCAGGCTTCGCGCTTCAACGCAAGCACCATTCACGAGCCGGTGACTCCTCGGGATTGAGAAAAGCCGTAAGCTGCCATAAGCCCTCTGCCCAAGACACTCGTCTGAGCGTCTCCCGCTGCTTCCCCGGCAGAGCCTGTGTACATCAGCGAGGAACTTGCGAAGAGGTGCCCCGGTCAGCTGCAGCCAGAGTCTTTTCTCTTTGGGCCTTGTCAGTGTCGCTGCGCACCACCTCAGCGCATTTATTAATTTCGTGCCAGCCACAGAGCCTGCAAAACACAGCCACGGCTCTGTCATTTCTTGACATTTCCGAGTTATGCCAGGAAGAAAGCAGAATCCACATAATCCACAATCTGTGTTTTGTGCCACACTCTGCCCAGATCCTTTGCATATCCACCAGGCAGCAATGTTGAGCTCAGGGCAAACAGAGGATCCAGCAAGTCGATCAGCAGGTCTCGCCAGCCCTGCGTACGCACATGCGATAGAGACTTGGACACTGACAGCACGAAAAACTTGGCAATTACCTCCGAGTCACGGCCCAGGCCCAGCCTCAAACCAAGTGGCAGCAAAGAGGGCAACAAGGAGGGCAGTCATGGCCTCCAGTGGTGCATATGGCATAGTCTTCGTCTCGTACTAAGATTGCAGACGACTCAGAAGTTGGTGCCCAGCCCACAAGTGCCAGTTGTTGAGATGCGGGAAGCAAACAACCTGAAGCAGGGAGTTCAGAAGGCTTAGTGCAATGACCTTCCGCACGATCTGCAAGCGCGGATAACACGCTGCACCGTCCTCATTTCCGTATGCTTGCATGCTCGGTCAACATGCTCCCACGCAGGAGTGAGCCGTGCACTCAAGTCTGCGAGGTCTAGAGTTCACTTGTCATGCCGCAGTTGTGAGAACCGGCACAAAAAGGTGGCATGCAGCCTGGCTGGACACGGCACCTACACAACTCTTCACAACTGCAAACATGTCATAGATCCTCCGTGACAGCAAGCCTCCTGAGAAGCGCTGTCACAATCCAAGAGATGAGGTAGGCTTCGCCTACTGTACATGGCATCTGAGCTTCAACGCTTGGAGCCCGCTTTCATTTCGCAGAAGCTGGGACTCTGCCGGGCTGCTAAAGGCCGGAGCAGGGCCCCTCGTAATTCTGCAAAACGGCACAAGTGAGAATGTACACATCCATGACCCACAAGCGGCCATGTTAACAAGCTGAGGGTTCAGGTTGCCGCATGTCACAAATGTCCTTAAATTTCTTCGTGCATGCAGACTCGTGGCTGCTACGGTGCGGCAAAGGACCACAACCTGATGCCCGTTTCAGACACGAATCATCAAAAGCTGATCTCGTGCTTTGCAAGTTGCGGCTGATGATTGGAACTATGGCATTATGGCTCGGCACATCAACGGAAGGATGGACTTATTTTTGGCGGTCTTGCAAAGCTACGATTTGCTGATCTCAGCAAGGAAGAAGCCTGGGACTCCATATCCGCGGTTGCGGTTCACGAATTCCTCACTTTTGGGTGGAGTTCAACCACAAAAGCGACGAAAGCGGCACTGAGACCCTGACATCTTTGCTCTGCGGAGCTTGCAAGGTCTGCGCACTTCGTTCATGGCACCTCTCAGGGTTTGCCACTCACTGCCCCCGACCCACTTACCTACAACCCTATGACGATAGGCTTGTTCGGACTGTTGCCGGGGCCATTCGCATATGTTCGTTTGTTCCAAAGGAGGGTATCGCCCTGGCCTCTGGAATCAGCTCCTCTTCCTCCAAGTTCACGGGCGATGCCGCAGAACTGACGGTGTGCAAGGCGTCCGTTCTCTTGAACAGCACTGACAGCGCACTCGAGCCTTGAGCAAGGCACCTTGCCACCTCGAGCTGCCACCTGCCCAGAACCACGACCAGCTTCAGGACACGAGTCTCAAACCGCTCTTCGGGGACTTCACAGAAGGCAACTTCCGTGCCCAGCTGTGCGAGCTACAGAATGGTAAGCACACATACGGCTGTTCGAGTAGTGCTCAGGAATGGCTGAGACCATCGTGTGACGTGGAGTGCTGGACTTGACAAGCCAGGCAAGTGCTGTGACCACTACTTAATGGTCAAAATAGGATGCAGAGGCCCGCGATGTGGCCTCAGAAAGGAGAGCTTAGCAAAAGACAGCCCAGGCTTGTAACACAGGCCTTAAACCCTAGTCCGCGCCACCCGCTACTACGACTCGAAGGTCGGCTCGAACAGAGGGGAGGAAGCGGGTGTGGGGTCCGCAGAAGGGCCGACGAGTGTGTGAAGGTATCTGAAACGCGGTCTTTTCGGATTCACCTAGCTTGGCAGGGTTGAAGGCGGGACTGCTCGACAGTGAGCAGCAAACAGAAGAGGGCGGACCCTTCCCAGGTTCGTTGAACTCCCGAAACACGAGCAACTTTGGCACAGTAGTGGCTCGGTGTATACGATACTCCAACCCTCATTGTGAAGATTTTGCTCTGAGTGTGGCAGGACCACAAGGGTGAAAAACGGAGATGCTGGAAGAAAAGCTGGCGCCGCCGCCTCAGCAAGCCACAAGACGCACCCGAGAACATAGTAAGATGCGATGCCCACGAAAATGCCCGCCGAGATGGAGTACCTTCGGGCCAACCCAGCTATGTCACGTCCGCCCAGCGGAGATTAGCATGGGTCACGCGAGCGGAGTGATGCAGATAGTCAGGAAGGCTGGCAGGGCCAGTCGCAAGTCCCCAAAGTCGATGTCTCTGACCTCGACCCGGGACGGTGGCACAGCTTTCATTCGCTCTCGCGCTGGTCACAGCCGAGCTGATGCCAAGTGCCGGGCAGGGCCCATCATCATGCTACCGACCAAGACGAGGCAAGGCGCCGTAGCCTGCTCAGCCCACACGAAACGATTGCAAGAACAACTCCAGCTGTGGCGCGATGAACAACGCATCTTCTGCCACTCCTCTGGTGGGATGAGTTCGATAACAGGGACCAAGGTCGGCGACAGCATGAAGAGAACCGCAGTCGTCACTGCGCAAAGCCTCGGCGGCAAAAGCTGGCGCGGAAGTCAGAATATGACATCAGAAGATTGGCCCCCTGTCAAACTTCTAGCCAGCACATCGGCAAGCCTCTGAAATCGGAGGAAACAGGATTCTGTTTCTAGCTTTTGCGACTCGAAACCCGAAACACTCCGACACTTCGCAGACGGCGCTAAGGGCTCTACCCTGTGCGACCGCCTTCCTGGACTCCAGCAGCGGTCTCGTTGTGGATGATGACCTTCGTCGGCGAAACAACCGAAGACAGAAACCCCATGTTCGCTGTTTCTGCTGTTGCCTTTGTCGCCGTGGCGTGTCGTGTAGATGCTGAGTTCCATGCTGGACTAGTGCCCATGACAGCACCCAGGCCAGTGCTGAAGGCGCTGCCCAAGTACCCGTACCTGGCTGCGCAAGACCACGACTAATGAAAGGGGAGGGGATCACAAAGGCAAGGGGGTCTTAGAGACGAGGCACTTCGCGCCGGGCAGGAAGCCCTTGCTGTCAAGAAGGCCAGCCTGGCAAACATCGGCTAAGAAAAACTTCAACGGCATCATGGGCAATGCACTCAGCTGCCTGGGGCGTAACCTTTCTAGAACGTGACTCACCCTTCTTTTGCCGAAACTATGACAGCATTGTCAACGACGAAAACAGTGTGGCAAAGCTCATCTTTGAGAAACTCGGATGGCTGCGCCAGCTACATGCTTGCAGCACAACGCGGGGAGGGAAGGTCCACCAGAGCATAAACACTGACTAGCTTCAACAACAAGACTGCACCGGGGCATGCAAGATCTAGAGGTCTTTACAGCGAAGGGCCTGCTGCCCGATGCCATGCTGCACCTGGTCTTGACTTGGAGCCAACAGCGCAAAAAAACAGCTTGCAATCCAATTTTCGCAGACCTGTGGGGATCAGCTGAGACACAGACTCCGGCGGTGTCGAACACAACGATGAAAAGGAGACAGAGCACTGCTGTGCCAAACTCCTGCAGCCGTGGGAAGACCGTACGTGCTCATAGAAGCCTGGCGAAGCTGCTTTCACTTGGGCCCCCTAAAGCAATCGATTTTGCCGCTTCCTTTGCAACTTCATCCTGAGCTAGGCTGCCTAGAGCAGCTGACTGTCCATCTCTGAGCTGTGAGTCATATGGGCAATACATGTAAGTGACAGAACCCGCCACGCAGTCCAGCTGTAGGGCACTGCGGAGACTACGTTCATGGTTCAACAAACTTTTAGGCTTTGTCCATGGCCGGCTAGGACCTGAGACGAAGCCTGACATGTCTCGCGGCGCCTGTGAGTGCGATTTCTGTATCGAAGTCTGAATGTCGACTCGCTACTGATTCGCTATGTCCGGGCCCATGCCATAGCAGCTACGAGTATAGCATAGTTGCCAGCAGCTTCACGTGCAGACAGAGAGAAAGTGACCGCGAACGGGCCTGCGGCTTCTCGAACATAGGAGTGAAATCCAAGTCAAAGATCTGCGGCAGGTCAGCGCCTGAAGGGAAGTCTTGGAGTGGAGGCAGGCCCCGTCTGTCGCCGGTGCAGGCTGAGCTAGGGACCAGCAGAAAGTCCGGCCGAAGGCTGCGGGCAGTGAGTCAAGAAGCTTGGCAATTCATTTACACGGTAGCATCTGACAGCGAGCTAGAGGTTGGGCACCATCGTTTGTGTACACTGCACAGAACAGCACGCAATCTAGTCGCACCTGATTCGGGTTGGGCAAGCCAAGGAGATGCGAGGCAACCGCCGTGAAGCAAATGCCTGCAAGAGTCTCCGCAGAGAAACTGCGGAATCAAACGACGAGAAGATTGCTGTGGCTGGCGGCTGGCCTAACAGCAAGGCCCCTGTGACTTTTCTGATCAAAAGTCCCGCAACCAGGAGGGTGGCCGTGAAAGCCAGCCTGGCAGCAAGAGACGCGCAAACTCTCCAAACACCCATCAGAACATGCCGGCGGAGCCACAAATTTGGCTGAGACAAGTCTCCCAGCGCCTAAGCCGATGCCATAATGCAAGATGTCAATGTCTTCGACCACCGCTCCATCGAAGCCAAGTGAGCTGCCACCAAGGTGGTATCGTTCTTGACTACCAGGCCCATCAACTGGAGGCCCACAAAGGCCTGCATGCCAGGAGGAGCAAGAACCTGAAGACAGCATCTCGCGCGAGGATGCGATCCTGAAACACGCCGATGGCCACCGTGATCGAGGACTTCAGGGCTGACGGTAAGGCTCCTTGAACCTTGGGCTGGTGGAACTGTTCAAGATTCGCCAGCGCCCTGAGGCTCCAGCTCTGTCGACTGCTCCACTGGCAGCCAGCACCGCAAACGCCACGGCCTCCGGCGACTCCAGACAGAGGCCAAGCTATGCCGGCGCTGCTCTGGTGCTCCCACACCCCAGGCCTGCACGAAACACGCGGCCAGGGCCCCTTCGGCACCGAGGCCAAGTCTCTCGATGAGACCGTAGCGCACATAAGAGTTCCTGGCATCGACACTCCCAAGATGCAAGCTTTGCAGGCTATTCAGCTTAATTCTTTGGGCTGTGACTCCACCTCTATGTGTTCGTGCTCTGCATGGTAGTTATGCCTGCCGAGCTTGAAGGCCTGCCTAAACTGACCCGGCTCAGGTCTACCAGGATCGAGAGTTCCAATTTGGCGAGCCCCATGCGGCAAGAGTCACTGAAAGCAGCCAGCCCAGGCACTCCACTGGTGCTCTGAACAAACTGGAGATAATTATACCCTAAACCCTAAAACCTTCAAGCCCTCCCGCCCGAAAGCCCTCAACCCCCTAAACCTGCCCTGAACACAAGAGGCTGGTCCGCGCAGCGAATCGCGGGTGCTTGAATCTCAAGTGATTAACCACAGCACGAATCGGGGCCTGGCTGGGAGGAGTCGAGTTTACACTTTAAGCTTGTGCTGCCCGAACAGAGTCAGAGTGCCCTGCAACAACACGCGCCAGGTCAGCAGACCCATGCCGGCGGCCAATCCAAAAGGAAGATTGGCAGCAAGTCCTGTCCAGTCAGCCGTCCCCCTGTCTGACACCTTCCTGTGCACCAAGTGACTGGCAGGACGTAAATTTCCCTTGGCAAGACCCCTGTCCTACGAAGGCGCATGCAAAAGCTGCCGACCTGGGACGGACTGCTGGCTAAAATCATTGTCTCCGTGTTCCACTGGACCCCAAGGGTGCTTGCAGCAACAAGGAAACGTGTACTGCCCCGGGCTGGGGTCCCTGCAAGCAGGTTGCTCTGCACGCTGCATGAAAAGGAATCGGCGAACCTGCTTTGTGTAAAAGCACGCAAGCATGGGTCGCGTCAGCAGATGGTCCCTAGTCTTCTAACACAGACAACGGCAGCAGATTCAATGCATGAGTACATGTCGGGTGGATCCGTCGAAGATCCAACAAGTCGACCCCACAGGTCCGGAAACATGTGTGGAGTCTGACAAGCTCGCAAGGACAGCGGGAGAGCAAGGCAGGATGTATTGGGGTGACAGACCAAACGGCATGGACGGGTTGATAACCTTCGCTGTTCCTGTTAACCGACGTCGACACTACACATGGCAGCAGTGATTTCGCTTGAGGCTGGCAGTCTTGGAATGCAAAGCGATGTACATCGGAGACATAGCTTGATGGGTCCAGCACAGCCGAGCTGGTCAACAAAAGCCAGGGCGGCTTCCATCCGCAAATCTCGCGCTAAGAATGATGGGGTTCACGACGACTATATAGCTCATAGTGACCTTCGAGCCCAGCACTGCAGAAATCTGGGCATCTTGAAACGGCTCTGAGGAAACGGCCCAGGTCACGAGACCAGCCCGCAACTCCTGGCCTGGGCAATTGCCGCAGCACCAGGGCCCTGGCACTCTGAGACCCTCAGCTCAGCCAGCAGCCAACCGTGCTGCCCCTCTCTGTCACGGTGAAAGCAGCCTCAGGAGAATGGCCCGCAATGTAAAACCCAATGGTCTGCAAAGACTTTCTGCAACTCCATCGGGTCTTCACATGTCTGCACTCCTCTGCCTTTAAGCTCATAGCATCCAGGTAGGAGGTGATTGCTTGAAGTACGGTTCGAGCCTCCGGCCTCCCAGAGACTCGGGGCAAACAAAAACAGAGGGTGCCCTCGCAAGCGTCTGCCTTCCCTTCTGTGGCACCTCCGACTTTGGCTGCCTAATCGCTGTTCACGAGCCGTTGCGCTTCAGGCGTTCTGAAAGCACGTGCTTGGCAACCGACAAGGACAAGAGAGGCTCACGGTAGTCCGCCATCGTCTGAAAGCCTATGGGAGGAAGGCCATGCTGCAGAACTAGGAACTACATGAACGTCCAGCTTCAGCTCAGCTTCCGACTTCGCTAGCTGTGCAAAGACAGCCGCTGCAAGACGAAGTCTAGTCTTTACCAGAAGCGGATCTTATCCCTATTGAGCCGATTTCTTGCAACGGCGAAGTCACTGGCTGCACACAATAAGAGCACAGTGTCACAGGCGAGGCAAAGCGGGTGCACCAGGGCCACCGAGGCTACGAAGTCCAGCCTCGCATCAGCGAAGTGGAGATCCGCAAACGCTGCCGCTGCAGAGCCAAGGCCGCAGCACGAGGCACGTGGCAAATTCTCCTGTTTGCGGTGGCAGGGCAGCATTGCCCACCTCGGGACTGTGCATTGGAGCTTCAGAAGCTACAAGTACCAAGTCCCGTCGAGCTCTGCATCACAGCACGAACTATCCACGACAAGTTACATGACCGCAACCGGACTAGCTACAGGATCCACTGAAGACAAGATTTTGAAACCCAGAGTGCCTTCGGAGGGGAACGTCCACAGGCTGCGACTGCAGCCACGAAGGCAATGGCAGCTACGAAGTAAACAAAATTCTGCCATAAGTACCTCAACAACAGGACAGGTGCAATGCCGCTTGAAGATACATTCCAGCAATGTCGCATACATGTCTCTAGTTCTGCAATACCCCTGGCATGGCTATGGGCCGTCGCACGCGTGTCCAGGAGAGTCCGCCAGAGCCAGGATAACGCAGAGCTGGGGGCCCAAGGAGGCGGCCTCTGCTGCGCCAAACGCACGACGACTTCGGAACTCTTCCGAGGCCCTGGCCTCCTGCGCGGCTGCCTCAGCAGCCTGAGCAAACACAAAACACGCACGCGGTTTTCATGCGACCCTTGCGGGGCCTCGGAAGGCAGGGGCGCAGCATCCTGGCACGTCCAAAGCACCCCAAATGGCAGTGCTGGAAGAAAGTGCACAGAAGCAGATGACTTGTTTCATCTGCAACCTCTGTCTTCTTCGGGTTGCTCAAGTCTAGGCCTTCGGGTGCACATGAAGCACAATCTCAAGCTTGTTTAGGGCACTGGCTGGGCGCGTCGCGGCGGCAGGAGACCACTGCATGAGGAATGGCAAAGCCAATCGCCTGATTCTTCGCAATGCCGCTTAAGACATCACAAAGTACAGAACGAGGCTCAAAGCTACTCCGGGCAGTGGTAGAGGGTCAGCAAGTTTGATGCGACATGCGATTCTCGTGCGCATGTCTGCAGCTGAGCCCGGTGCGACAAAGCAAAGGCACAGCTCGCAAGCCGTCACAGAGCCCTCTGCACACCAACCATGTTGCTGTGCAAGCTGCTTACCAGGGATGACACAACATGCGGTGCCTTCATCAAGCCCATGGCAATGCAGAGCAAGACGATGCTGGCGCAATCAGAACACATGTTTCTGCTAAACAGGAGGGCCATCAGGCTTCGCTCATGCAGAGGCCTTCTACATCGGTGCCTTTGGTGCCTTTGGTGCCCCAATGTGCCCCATGTCCACCACGCACCGGTCTTCCAAAGACAAACCGAACATTCACCCTGGCCCTGGCCTCTGACACAAGACATGCATTTCGAAGCAGACCTCTTGTTCCTTACTGTTGCTCTCTGTGTCGTACCAACTCCCGGTGCTGGCGCCGCAAGGCGAGTATGTCGGTTCTTTCCCAGGCAGGCGGCATCCGGGCGCCCACCCTGTTCCTGCCCCTGCATGTAGGAGCATGGCAAAGAGCTGGGGTCCGTTTCATTGCCAAGTTGATTCACGTGCAGCTTTCTGTCCTGTGCAACAGGAAGTTGTGCGGAGACATATCCTCCCGAAATGCGCACAGCTTTTGACTCGCAGTGTAAAGGAAAGAACACCTGCAACATCTGCGAATAACAGACCCGGTGGCATACAGATTGACTTGCAAAAGAGCCCAAGCGCATTATCCATATCCATGTCATGCGACAGCATGAACTGAAAGACTCCGATCCACGAAGGTCGCGTGGGAATATACTATGGCGACTGATACCGGTCACATTTGCTTCAGCTTCACACGTCTGCTACACGGAGAGACATAATCAGTTCTCCTTTTAAGTTCATCCGCAGGTTCATAGGCGTGGCTTCTCGGAGCCTGACATTCCCTGCTCCCATGCGAACCCTTTCAAAGCATGTCCTTCAACCAAGTAAGTCGACCGTCCAATCCCTCAATAGTTCCCGTGCAACAGACGAGCCTGATGAACAATCCAATGCAGCTGAGGGTATGGGCCAATCCCAAACCATCGTGCAGCCTGACAGTGAAGGTGCGAAGATCCCCAATCTTGGGGCTGTTGAAGCGAAATCTCGTAGCAAATTGCAGCACCATATCAGAACTCGGCGGCAGCGTTTGAATGTCAGTCACTCTCTATACAGCCTTTCAGACCGAAGGATCTGGATGAACTTGTTGACCTGGACGTCTCCACCATCCATTGGCAGACCTTTCAAAAGACAAGAAAACCATACACCTTCGGACACCTCTGACGCAGAACAAGTGCCTCGAGCATCATCATCAATGATGCGGATGGCCGCTGTGGAGAAACCGGCTGCCCACCAAATTCCCATCGATGCCACCTGCCCATTTCGAAAGTGATGGCAAGCGGAAAAACAAGCAACCACGCCAGGAAAACTGAGATCTGTGCTGCTAGATTTTCTGTCCAGTTCACCCATATAGGTAGATGCTCAGTGTAGCCTTCATGATAACCTCAGCTAGGCGAAGATCATGGACAAGCAGGCAGTAGCACCGGAAACGTCATTGCAGAGATAAGATCCTCACCCTCGTATCTCATCGCCCGAGTGTGAATGGCAATGAACAGAGCATATACTACCTCAACACTTCCGCTTGACATTCGAAGCATTTAAGCTACGGAAACATGTCGCGACAGTGGCAAGCTTGCTGAGGCTGTCACAGCCCAGCAGTGTGCCGCTCCTGCAGCAACCTGCTGTCAAACCCGAGGCAAGTTCCTGCCAGAACCTCTACGCCCACATAGAATCTCAGGCTGCCACCAAGACAAGCGCATTGCTGATGAAGGCATGCTCGGCCCGTTCCACCCATTGCAGCCATCCCAACAAACTGACAAGTTGCGCTGCATCTCGCTTTCAAAACACCCTGTCATACTTCTCATGATAACGTAAGCCACCTCCTCACGGCAAAGTATGCCAGAGGCTGCATCCTCCTGCCTGGTCCGAACCAGACCTGCTGGTTCTAATGCAATGACCATAACAGTGCGGCTGTCATCAAACAATGCAACGCCTGGGGTCCTCTTTGCCCGCACCCAACACTGCGATTTGAAGCCACCTCCACGGCAGGCTTTGTGAAACACAAATACCGTCTACGTTGGAGGCATGTCGGGAGAGTGGTGTCAGGCATTCACGCACCTAGGGGGAACTGCTGCAGGGTGGGCTGATTCGCGACGTATTTCTTTGCAACTGCCCGGCCTGCAAATGGGAACTGGCGAAGAGAACAAGGCTTTCAAAATTTATCCAAGACTTGTAAGCAGCTTGAACCGTGCAGCGGCCGCGGAAAACGCCACGGAAGGTGAAGGTGTGCAATTTTTGCTTTCTGTTGAAGTACGCTGCACTGTTGCATTTTCGAGCCTTAACATGTGAGCGTTGATCAACACTCGTTCTTCTGGAAATGGTTTCTTGCCGATGTATTGCTTTCCTTTCGAGGGACCTTTCGCCCTTACCTTCGCGCGAATTGGTGGTAGTCGTAGTAGTAGTAGTAGTAGTAGTAGTAGCAGCAGCAGCAGCAGTAGTAGTAGTAGAGGAGTAGTAGTAGTAGTAGTAGTAGTAGTAGTAGTAGTAGTAGTAGTAGCAGTAGTAGTAGTAGTAGTAGTAGTAGTAGTAGAGTAGTAGTAGTAGTAGTAGTAGTAGTAGTAGTAGTAGTAGTAGCAGCAGTAGTAGTAGTAGTAGTAGCAAATGGTCACAGGGGGTTGTGTGGGTGAATGAGAAGTGGGTTGGGGTGGGGTGGTGGGTTAGTGGGTAGAGGGTAGTGGGTAGTGGGTGGTGGGTAGGGGTGGGCAATGGGTCAGTGGTTGTGGTAGTGGCAGGCAGGGGGTTGGGGGCAGGTGTAGGGGTCGGGGTGGGGGTTGGTTGTGGTGGTGGCAGGTAGCGGCATTGGTGGTGGTCGGGGACCTGGTTTTGGTCGTGGTCGCGGCGGTCGTGGTGGTGGTGGTGGTGGTGGTGGTGGTGGTGGTGGTGGTGGTGGGTGGTGGTGTGGTGGTGGTGGTGGTGGTGGTGGTGGTGGTGGTGGTGGTGGTGATGGTGGTGTGGTGGGTGGTGTGGTGGATGGTGGTGATGGTGGGTGGTGATGGTGGTGATGGTGGTGATGGTGGTGATGGTGATGGTGGTGATGGTGGTGATGGTGGTGATGGTGGTGATGGTGGTGATGGTGGTGATGGTGGTGGTGGTGGTGTGGTGGTGATGGTGGTGATGGTGGTGATGGTGGTGATGGTGGTGATGGTGGTGATGGGGTGATGGTGGTGGTGGTGGTGATGGTGGTGATGGTGTGTGGATGGTGGTGATGGTGGTGGTGGTGGTGGTGGTGGTGATGTGATGGTGGTGATGGTGGTGATGGTGGTGATGGTGGTGATGGTGGTGGTTGGTGATGGTGGTGATGGTGGTGATGGTGGTGGTGGTGGTGCTGGTGGTGATGGTGGTGATGGTGGTGATGGTGGTGATGGTGTTGATGGTGGTGATGGCGGTGATAGCGGTGATGGTGGTGATGGTGGTGATGGTGGTGATGGTGGTGATGGTGGTGATGGTGGTGATGGTGGTGATGGTGGTGATGGTGGTGGTGGTGGTGGTGGTGGTCGTAGTTGTGATGGTGCTGGTGGTGCTGGTGGTGCTGGTGCTGCTGGGGCTGCTGGTGCTGCTGGTGCTGCTGGTGCTGCTGGAGCGATCAGCACTGCACCGGACCTGGGCTCAGCAGCGATCAGCACCGCAGGGAGATGCCACGACCGCACAGATGCCAGGTTTTCAGAGTAGAGTCGAGCACAGGGCACTTTCGACAACTTTTCATCCGTCTGACGATGCAGGTCGAAAGGCTGCAGGCATCGCAAGAAGCACACAGGTTTCAGAATCCTTCTACAAGTACCTAGTCCAATCGCCTTTTCTGGCGCTCCCTGCGAGACCTGGTGCGGCACTTCAACCTAGTTACAGCGAATGTCCGCACGGCACCCTACTTCACCATACGGGGTGCCCATCGAGGCTTTGGCAGTGCAAACAGTGTAGCTGGCACATGGCGGCACTACACCCCACTGAATCCTAACCAGCTGCACCGATTAACAAGCATGCCCTTAAATGATCTTCCCGTTGCACTACCAATCACTGCACGTCGAAAACGTCTGTGACAGGCCACTAGTTGCCCCCCCTCAGTTGAGTTCCATGGAGTATGCTGCATCACTTGCTGCGGTGAGGTCAGATGGGAGTTTCAAGACCTTGAACCTGAGCTGGGCATCCGTCGGCTGCTGCTGCAAGTCCATCTGCACGCTGGTGTCCACGCCGTTGGCTGTCATGCGGACGAAGCGGTTGCTCAATGCGTTGTGCAAAGCGATATCTTCTCCGCCGGTGTGTGGCCAGTACATGACGGTAAAGCGTTCGCTCTTCCAATCGCTTGGCAGAGCACTAGCATCTTTCATAGGGCTGGCAGTCATGTCGTCACCCCACATCTTCACGAAGCGGTTGAAGGTGGCGCAGTGGAGTGCGATTGTGCCGTTCCCGGTGTCCACCACTCTGAATCGCTCATGATTCCAGTTGGAAGGGAGGCTGGTTGCTGCCGCAGGGCTGCTGTATCCCATATCCGGCAGTGGTTGCATGCTCAAGAACCTTCCGACTTGGGCATTGTGCAGGGCCACGATGTCACCAGGCTGCAGGGACTTCAGCTGCACCACGCTGAGACGCTCCCACTGCCAATTGGTCGGCAGCTGGTTCCAAGCCATCGATTCGCTCCGGAGGACGGTTCCCGCACCCACTGAGAGGAAGCGGTTGTGGGCGGTACTGTGCAATGCGATCTCATTGTTGGCAAGCTCGACAACTCGGAAGCGTTCATAAGTCCAGTCAGCAGTCAACTCGTCGGCTGACCTGACGGGACTCGCATCCACCGTGGTAGGTGACATCCTCAGGAAGCGGTTCCACGCTGTGTTGTGCAAGGCAACCTGCCCATTCCCGGCATCTATGACCGTGAAGCGCTCCCAAGTCAAGTCGTTTGCATTTTGCTGGGTGTTTGTAGCGGAGTCCACACTGCCGGAGTTTAATCGGACATAGCGGCTGTGGAAGTTGTTCTTCAGGGCGACGCTGGAGCCGGGCCTCAGCACTGGGGGGGGCACCGCCCTTATGACATTGCCGCCCGTTAGATTGCCCAGGGTCTCGATGGCCTTCTGTCTGCTGCTGGCTGGGATAAAAGGCATGGCGCTCAGAATGGCCCCTGTCTGCTCAGCGATGTCGAAAAGTCGAAACCTCTTCGAGTGCGAGCCAAACTCACCAAACTCAAGGGACATGATAAAGTCCAATTTGCTGTCCTCGAGGACTCCTTGGATATCAAAGCCCACCAGTCCAGAGTTCTTGAACCTGAAGAGCTGGCGGTAGTTTGCCCCAGACGCAGTACTGGCATTCTCCTGCAAGGCGCTCATACCCCGCGTACTCTTCAGCCTCTCCAACACCTCTTCGCCGCGGTGCTCTGACAGTAGCGTGCTTTGCATATCATCTCCCATCTCGGCAGACGCCAGGTAGAGGTCTGCAGCGTCCAGGGCCCATTCTGCGTCGTCCTCGGAGACTGTTTGACGCTTCTGTTCTGCGGCGCTTTGGTTTTGGAGTAATGCATTATACTGCTGCGCCTGCAACGAATTCATTGGCAGCAGGCCTCGGGCGTTGTACATAAGGCCATTGCGGGGACGACCCTGTGCTACTCCAGCGGGGGCGGCAGTGAAATGGAAGTGGGGGTCGGAGTTCCCAAACCGAGTGACCAACCGCCAGGTCATGCTCATAATCAACTGGTTGAAGAATCGAACCTCCAGAGTAATGGAGCCCAATTGCGGACCTCCGGGCATAAAATCAGGCCAGCAAACCGAGATGCTCAGCGTGAATAACTTCGAGAGAAAATCGAATTCGAGACCTCCTCCGAAGGCAAGTACCGGTTGTGTTGCGAAGGTAAAGCTGACAACGGCACATTTCTCAACAGGTAAATCCCAACCGTAGACGGAGTAGCCCTGCCACTTGTCCCAGTTCTGTCTCAGAAATGTAGGGCTGCAGGGCACTGCCCACGGTTCAAGCTCAAGGAAAGGGCTGCCTGTTGTAGGCCGCTGCCAGTCTAACCTCGTAGACTGATTGTTGTTGCCGGACTTGCTCTTGGGTGCGAAAGCCAAGCACGACTCTGTGTCCATCTCGACTCCGCCGAACTGCGTGACGAGCTTCGAACGGTAGCTCTTGTCGCTTTGGCCGAAACCGAAGGAGATCACTCCCTTCTCTGTCGGCTTTGCTGGAGCGTCAGTGTCAGGGCCGCTCTCTTGCAGCGCCGACATTTGGGGCTTCGGTCCAGGTGCATGCCGTGGCGCATGCCGTGTGTGGGTGCGGATCACGAGATTCTTGTCCGAGTGGTGCAGAACAGGTGCAGCACCCACGGCAGGGAAGTCGGAGGTCACAGCCTGCTGGAGCAAAGAGTGGCTTTGCTTCGCAACTGTCTGCACCGCAGATGAAGCAATCCTTGCAAAGGTCTCGATGAATTCCGACACCAAGCTGTCTATGCGGGTCAAGAAGTTCAGCGGCGGGACTTTCTCAATGAGAGTTTTGCCCAGGCAAGCAAGGACCTCACCAGCGTCGCCTTTGCAACTCAAAAGGTTTGCGCCAAGCGTTACCAGCGTCTTGATCGGCTCAGGAAACGGCTGCTTGACCTCGGGAAAATTCCAGTCGAAGATGGTCTTCCGACTGCCGGCGATCTCGAGCCAGCACCACAATTTTCCAATCTTCACCTTGATCTCCTCTTTGGTGACTGTGAGCTGGGGATCGTCTTTCCCGCAACCGTGAGACCATCCGACATTGAACCGGCTCAGAAGATCGACGGCCATCTCCGCAGAGCCGATTGCGGCGAAAGCCACAGAGTCTGACGGGAAGGGATCCGGGTGAGCCTCAGCCAAGGAGGTCTCCTTGGCGCGTCCGGACTGGGCTATCTCCTCCTCCAGCTTTGGGCTTTGGGGCTTGGAGGAGACTTTGGATGCCGTCACGAACTTGCGGTCTTCCATCTGGCGCTCATGCTTGCGCAGGACCGTCTCCAAAACCTTCTGTGCTCGATTGGCTTTTGGCGCTTTGGCATCCTCCTTCACCGCCTCCGTGGCACTGGCGTTCTTTTGGGTGCAGCCGCAAGCCCTCAACTCCTCAAGGGGGGGGACGGTTTGTCAACAGTCGCCATCTAAGCACCCGAAGCAAAACGCGAGCTACCGACGAGTCTCAAAGCACGCGGCCATCCCCAATGCAATGGTTGGAGTTGTAGCCGGGTGTCATTTATAGCACCTCAAGCGAATATGGCATAAGTCTGACCGTTGCTTTCTTATTGCATTCGAAATGCCGGGTCAAAACAGGAAGGCCAAACAGAAGCTCATGTGCCCACAGAGGAAGGGATGCAGAAATCAACAACAGAAGAAAACCATGCACAGAACAAGTACACCCGTAGCAGGAACGGGTGGACGAAGGAAAACCAGGCAAATGATGAAATAATGTAGAGTGCTAATGCAAGTGCTTGATGCCTGGCCAGACATGGGTGTGGTGTTTTTGCATCCTCGCAAATGGGGGTCCCATCAGCGTGCACGTGGCTGCAAATCAGGTCGGCGAGGGGCTAAACCCTACACCCACAACAGTTAGCTTCAACTGGAATCGAACATCCGACCATCAGAGTGTTTGCAAACGGCGATTTGCAGGAACTCAAAACGCAAAAGTAAAGAGCCGAACGTCTCCACATCGTATCAATGTTTGGATGCTACTGACGCCTGCGAGCCACATCATCTGGAATGAGTACAATGCCTGAAAGTCGTGCCATGTATAGCCAAAAAGGCAGCTCTGAACATCCATGCCTGTGTGCTGCGGAGACATGCACCTCAATTGAGCCTTTGTTTGCCCTCCGCTCCTGGATCTCCCCCTGCTGAAGTTCGACAACGGTCTCGAGCTGCGCCAGCTTTTTAAAGATGAACTCCATGCTTGCAGCCAGGAAGACACCGCTGGTATCCTTGGTGGTCGAGGCCGCCACATTCTCTGAGATGTCCTCCATAGTGCCGTTCGCATCCTCGGTCATGTCCAGAGTGTTGGCCGAATTCGTCTCAGCCTTCAACGCCAGAAGTGACGGAGCGGATGCAGCACAAGCTTCCCCTGAGCAGCCCTCTCCGTGAGCGTGGCATATGCCCAGGAGGACCAAGAGCGGAAGCGCAACACGTGGAAGGCCACAAGGCCCAACGGTAGAGCGCCAAGCTGACATAGGCATGGCACTGGCGCAAGAGATTAAGGTAACAATTACCAAGATTCTCAAATCGAGCCAAGACTAGGGAGGCCGAGGCCGGAGGCGCAGAAAAATGCCGGCTCATGCATGGTGGACAATGACATCTCAGATACTACGATCCTAAGCTCTGAGCCGAGCTCCCGGTGGAGTCCAGAGGCAGCCTTCTGAATTCTGAACTGGTGATAAAAAGGAACCTTCACCTTCCGGCTCAAAGGTTCAGGGGCAGGCTTGGCCGCCTTGGCCGCCCGCTGGCTCTTCAGCTCGCGCGCCTCGGCAGAATGAACGGCAAGCGAAGTTCCCTTCGACTCTGAGCCCCTGCGGCCTGTGTGAGACCACTGCATGAGGAATGGCAAAGCCAATCGCCTGATTCTTCGCAACGCCGCTTAAGACATCACCAAAGTACAGAACGAGGCTCAAAGCTACTCAGGGCAGCGGTAGAGGGTCAGCAAGTTTGATGCGACATGCGATTCTCGTGCGCATGTCTGCAGCTGAGCCCGGTGCAACAAAGCAAAGGCACAGCTCGCAAGCCGTCACAGAGCCCTCTGCACACCAACCATGTTGCTGTGCAAGCTGCTTACCAGGGATGACACAACATGCGGTGCCTTCATCAAGCCCATGGCAATGCAGAGCAAGACGATGCTGGCGCAATCAGAACACATATGAACACATGTTTCTGCTAAACAGGAGGGCCATCAGGCTTCGCTCATGCAGAGGCCTTCTACATCGGTGCCTTTGGTGCCTTTGGTGCCCCAATGTGCCCCATGTCCACCACGCACCGGTCTTCCAAAGACAAACCGAACATTCACCCTGGCCCTGGCCTCTGACACAAGACATGCATTTCGAAGCAGACCTCTTGTTCCTTACTGTTGCTCTCTGTGTCGTACCAACTCCCGGTGCTGGCGCCGCAAGGCGAGTATGTCGGTTCTTTCCCAGGCAGGCGGCATCCGGGCGCCCACCCTGTTCCTGCCCCTGCATGTTGGAGCATGGTAAAGAGCTGGGTCCGTTTCATTGCCAAGTTATTCACGTGCAGCTTTCTGTCCTGTGCAACAGGAAGTTGTGTGGCGACATATCCTCCCGATGTCGAACAAGATCGAGATAAACGCTTGTCTTGGGAGCCAATGATGGAATCCTTCGCCGCACATAGTTGTCGAGCAAGTTCGGTGTAAACACTTTTGCTGGGAGCCAATGTTTTGTATTTCTCGCCACACATAGATGCCGGACAACATCGGGGTAAGCTCTTGTGTTGAGGGCCAATGTTTGAATCTCTCGCTACACATCGATGTCGAATAAGTAAACGCCTGTTTTGGGAGCCCATGCTTGAATCTTTTGCTAAACATAGATATCGAACAAGATTGGGGTGCACACTTGTGCTGAGTGCCAATGTAATGAATTTCTCCAGCTTTTGACTCGCAGTGTAAAGGAAAGAACACCTGCAACATCTGCGAATAACAGACCCGGTGGCATACAGATTGACTTGCAAAAGAGCCCAAGCGCATTATCCATATCCATGTCATGCGACAGCATGAACTGAAAGACTCCGATCCACGAAGGTCGCGTGGGAATATACTATGGCGACTGATACCGGTCACATTTGCTTCAGCTTCACACGTCTGCTACACGGAGAGACATAATCAGTTCTCCTTTTAAGTTCATCCGCAGGTTCATAGGCGTGGCTTCTCGGAGCCTGACATTCCCTGCTCCCATGCGAACCCTTTCAAAGCATGTCCTTCAACCAAGTAAGTCGACCGTCCAATCCCTCAATAGTTCCCGTGCAACAGACGAGCCTGATGAACAATCCAATGCAGCTGAGGGTATGGGCCAATCCCAAACCATCGTGCAGCCTGACAGTGAAGGTGGGAAGATCCCCAATCTTGGGGCTGTTGAAGAGAAATCTCGTAGCAAATTGCAGCACCATATCAGAACTCGGCGGCAGCGTTTGAATGTCAGTCACTCTCTATACAGCCTTTCAGACCGAAGGATCTGGATGAACTTGTTGACCTGGACGTCTCCACCATCCATTGGCAGACCTTTCAAAAGACAAGAAAACCATACACCTTCGGACACCTCTGACGCAGAACAAGTGCCTCGAGCATCATCATCAATGATGCGGATGGCTGCTGTGGAGAAACCCGATGCCCACCAAATTCCCATCGATGCCACCTGCCCATTTCGAAAGTGATGGCAAGCGGAAGAGCAAGCAACCCCGCCAGGAAAACTGAGATCCGTGCTGCTAGATTCTCTGTCCAGTTCACCCTTATAGGTAGATGCTCAGTGTAGCCTTCATGATAACCTCTGCTAGGCGAAGATCATGGACAAGCAGGCAGTAGCACCGGAAAGGTCATTGCAGAGATAAGATCCTCACCCTCGTATCTCATCGCCCGAGTGTGAATGGCAATGAACAGAGCATATACTACCTCAACAGCTCTGCTTGACATGCGAAGCATTTAAGCTACGGAAACATGTCGCGACAGTGGCAAGCTTGCTGAGGCTGTCACAGCCTAGCAGTGTGCCGCTCCTGCAGCAACCTGCTGTCAAACCCGAGGCAAGTGCCTGCCAGAACCTCTACGCTCACATAGAATCTCAGGCTGCCACCAAGACAAGCGCATTGCTGATGAAGGCATGCTCGGCCCGTTCCACCCATTGCAGCCATCCCAACAAACTGGCAAGTTGCGCTGCATCTCGCTTTCAAAACACCCTGTCATACTTCTCATGATAACGTAAGCCACCTTCTCACGGCAAAGTATGCCAGAGGCTGCATCCTCCTGCCTGGTCCGAACCAGACCTGCTGGTTCTAATGCAATAACCATAACAGTGTGGCTGTCATCAAACAATGCAACGCCTGGGGTCCTCTTTGCCCGCGCCCAGCACTGCGATTTGAAACCACCTCCCCGGCAGGTTTTGTGAAACACAAATACCGTCTACGTTGGAGGCATGTCGGGAGCGTGGTGTAAGGCATTCACGCACCTAAGGGGAACTGCTGCAGGGTGGGCTGATTCGCGACGTATTTGTTTGCAACTGCCCGGCCTGCAAATGGGAACTGGCGAAGAGAACAAGGCTTTCAAAATTTATCCAAGACTTGTAAGCAGCTTGAACCGTGCAGCGGCCGCGGAAAACGCCACGGAAGGTGAAGGTGTGCAATTTTTGCTTTGCGTTGAAGTACGCTGCACTGTTGCATTTTCGAGCCTTAAACATGTGAGGGTTGATCAACATTCGTTCTTCTGGAAATGGTTTCTTGCCGATGTATTGCTTTCCTTTCGAGGGACCTTTCGCCCTGACCTTGGGGTTTTAGTTTCCCGTTACATAAAGTAGGAACAATTGATTTCTGTAATTTTAAAACCTATAAAACCTATAGCGTTTAGGGGCTTAGGGGTTTTGGGGTTTGGGGGTTTCGGGGTTTAGAGGGTTAAGGGTTTAGGCGCCGAGGCGGCGTTTGGGGGTTTTGAGGCTTCAGGCTTACGGCTTTTGGTGTTTTGGTTTCTAAGTTTTAAGGGTTTAGGGCTTTAGGGGTTTAGGCGTTTCGGGGCTTCAAGGTTTCGGCCTTTCGGGCTTAGGGCTTTAGGAGTTTAGGGTTTTAGTGCATTTGGGCTTTTGGGTGTTTGGGCTTCGGGGCTTGGTAGGGTTTATAATCAGGAGTTTAAGCGTTTAGGCGTTTCGGGGTTTTGGAGTTTCGGGCTTCAGGGACTGAGGGCTTGGGGTTTAGGGCTATAGGGATTTTGGGCTTCTGGGCTTTAAGGGTTTAGGGGTTACGGGTGTAGGGGTTCAAGGGTTTGGGCGTCTCGGGGCTTCAGGGTTTCGGGCTTTGGGGCTTTAGAGGTTTAGGGTTTTAGAGCGTTTGGGCTTTTGGGCTTTAAGTGTTTAGGGGTTAAGGAGTTGAGGCGTTTAGGCGCTTCTGGGTTTTGGGGTTTCGGGATTTGTTGCTTTTGATTTTTTTGACTCGAAGGTCTTAGGGTCTTAGGGGTTTCAAGCGTCGGGGCTTGAGGGTTTTGGGCCGTCGGGGTTTAGGGTTTTAGTTCGTTTGGGTTTTTGGGTGTTTGGGCTTCGGAGCTGTAATGTTTAAGGTGTCAGGAGTTTAAGGGTTCAGGCGTTTCGGGATTTTGAGTTTTGGGCTTCAGGGTTTTGGGGCTTTGGGTTTGGGGCTGTAGGGATTTTGGGCTTGTGATTTTGAGGGTTTGGGGTTCAGTGGTTTAGGGTTTAGGCGTTTCGGGGCTTCAGGGTTTCGGGCTTTAGAGGTTTAGAGTTTTAGAGCGTTTTGGCTGTTGGGCTTTAAGGCTTTACGGGTTTTAGGGCGCTTCGGGGTTTTGGGGTTTCGGGCTTTGCGGCCTTTGGGTTTTCTGGGCTCTAAAGCCTTATGGCCCTAGGGGTTCAGGGGTTTCAAGCGTGTCGGGGTTCATGGTTTCGGGCTTGTGGGCTGTTGGGATTTGGCGTTTGGGTTTGTCGGTGTTTGGGCTTTGGGGCTTTAAGGATTTAGGCGTTCATAGGGTTTAGTTTACTAGGGTTTAGGGTTTCAGGGGTTTGCAAAATTACGGGTTTTGGTGTTTAGGAATGTATGGGTGTAGGGGGCTAGGTGGTTCAGGAGTTTAAAGGGGGCAAAGGCGAGGGTTTATCGCACTAGCGGTTTTGCGGGTTTCGGGGCGCAGGCGTTTCGGGACTTCGGGCTTTCGGGTTTTAAGGGGGGCTTCCGGAGTCCGAGAGCTCGGGGTTCAGGGGTTCAGGGACAAAGGCAGAGGGTTGGGGTTTTGAGCTTTGGAGGGGTTTTGGGCTCTAGGGCTTCAGGGGATTTTGGAATTTATGAGGTTCAGGGGGTGGGACAAATTGGGGATCAGGGCTGAGTGGTTCAAGAAAGCACACCAATTGACCGCTTCACAGAACTTCACGTGTTTTCATGTTTTTCATGGTCCTTCATGTTTTTTTTCATGTGTCTTCATGGGTCTTCATGGGTGCTCACATGAAGCACCCGAGAAGTTCCATGAAGACCCATGAAGACA